TATTTGAGGTATGATGGTAAGGTGGCTCGTTATGAGTCCAAAGGTTTATAAACGCTTTACAACAACACCTTTAGAGTGATCAAAGGTCTTAAGAGCTCCAGAAATCTACCTCAAGTGCAATCTATCGTGATTATAAAGTGTTGACGTCAAGTATGTTCCACACACCTAACGTCACTGAAAAAGTGTGTGAGCAAAGGTTAGCCAAAGTGTTGAAAAAGGAATAAAAAGTAACTGTTTGAAGTATAAAAATACAAACGGCCAGTTGAAGTTGAATAAGAGAACCATTTATTTTACCATCAGCTGACGTGTAAATACTGTACACACCCATAATATTGACAGAGACAATCTTTAAAGAGGGAATAGTTTATTCTGTAAAGAAAAGTGAACGTCTCGTCTTAGGACATTGAGTAGGGGTTAGAGCAGCCTTCTCTGAAGACTTGACAGTTTAGGCTGTAGCTTTGGCCTGAGTGGTCTTGGCCAGAGCCTTCAGGTCTGTGATGCACTTGGCGATGCTCTCCTTCTCCTGAAAAACAACACAAAGACAGATGTGAAGCTCGGGGAATAACCAGGGCTTACAGGTCAGTTAGAAAAGCCGTTTATGCTTTTCACATTGATAACCATTTTATTGTGAATCTTTCCATTTAGTCAGAAAAGCAAAAAAAAAAAAAAAACAACTATTCATTGATTTTTAAAAAGCTGGTTATAGCTGGTTAGTATAAAATTGACTAAAATTTAGATTTAGCAAAGAATACCGTTTTGGCCTTAGTAGTTGTTTTTTTTTTTTTGATATTTTTTAATGGAAATGATGTTTGAAAACGTGTCTAATATTCATGTTTACAATGTCAGATACTGCATTATGGGTTGTATGTAGTCTTAATGTTGCTAGGCTATCTGTGTTTTAGAGTTACGCAACCCTAATAGTATTTTGTTAGCCCATTTTAACAGCTTCTAATGGCGTGAGTAATGTATTCTGCTGCCACAGAGGAAATAAATTATTGAGGAGTGAAAACAAATCCAATGTGACTTCCTTGACTGAAACACAAACAGACGGTGGCCTGAATAATCTGTCAATGGGATGAGTCACAGATGATGAGGAGCTCAAAAAGATAAAAGAGAAAATGAAAAATGTTGCCAGAGAAATTAATTTGACCACTTCCAAGAGGCTGACAGAGCCTGGGGAAAAGGTAACTAAATTTTACATTCTGCTTAAATGGTATTTTTTCACATTTCACTTTTATGACAGAAAAGTCTAAAAGAATGAGGACACTGTTCTTCTTTGATAAACAGCATCTCAGCAAATCTCTGCCTATTAGATCACTTAGAAAGTGCTGTATCTTCAAAGTCTTCTTCCAAAAACAGGGGAAAAAGAGGGTTTCATCTAATAATCAGGGTCATTTTATATTCTGGTAATTAGACAACATAAATCAGACCAGATATTCAATGCCAACCTTCAGTTTTTATTACTCTGAGCTGCAGACATACAGACAAATTAAAAAAGGAAAAACCTGAAATATATTTTGAAAGTATGGTGTTCATCCCTCCAGTAGAGTTCAGAGACTTGTAGAATCAACATCAGGGAGCACTGAAGCCGTTCTGGCAGCACATGGTGGCTCAACACCTTACTTAAGAAACTTAGTTGGTTTTTCCTTTAATTTGTCACCCGTACTCACAAACTGTCACCCAACTTAACAATTTCCCAAAAACACAAATGCAAGACTGAAACACTATTTTCATATAATATCCACACTGAGAAACATCATGGAGCTGGAGGCTTCTGACAGTCTGACCAAAAAAAACATAAGACTGACCTGCTGGGGAGTGATGCTGCCCACAACGCTCTTCTCAACCCAGTTGACCATGTGCTCCTGCTCCATCTGGCGGTGGAGGTTCTGCAGGCCGATCTGGTAATCTAAGCGCCTCTTCACCTCATTGGTCACCATGTGTAGCCTCTCTCTGTAGTTGGTCTCCAACAGCATGGCCACATTGTTCTGAGAAGGAAAGAGGAGTCTATGCAGTCTTTGTCACCAAACTACAGAAATATCTCTAGTTTAACCTTGGGTCATATGAATATTCATTTTAAGCAGGTTAAACTCCATCTTTACAAGTTCTTACCATTGTGGTGCAATTTACATTAATTGACATCAAGAACAGTTTGAAATCTGATTTCAGTGACAGCGCCAAACATTAAACCAGAATTCTTTAAAAAATTTTAAAAGTTTTGTTCATGGTTTTTTAACTGTCTGGCCTTTGTAAAAGAAACATAATAATATTAAGAATATGACTAAATATGCCATATGCTCATATGCAGCCAGAATTCAGGCAGTTATTTTTCAACAGACTACCAAGTTGATAACAAGAGAAGTAAATTCAGCAAGGCAACTTCAATCATGGCAAAATTTGAATAAGTAGTATTTATTTATTTATGGCCTCTTGTTTTTCTCCAGACATTATTTTGTTCTAGCTCTCCACGCTCCATAGCAGCCTGAGCAGGGTCGCTCGGTGGTGGTGTTGCAATTTCAACTTGTTGCCAGCAGAGGTCGCTAAATGTCAAAGACTACATAATGATGGCCCTTCAAGTCCTACAGCTCAAAGCAGAGGGGAACAGGGCAAATGCCTTACAACTGTCAATAAGTCTTGTGTAAATAAGATAATGGAAAATAAAAAGGCAAACATCAAGGCTGCTCACCCTCTTTGCATCGAAGAGCATTGATCTTCCATCTGTTCTCCACTGTTCCTTCTTCTCATCCTCGATGGCTTGAGCCAGGCTGGACATGGCGAGGTCCTTCACCTCCTGAGCCTTGGCCACTTTGTCCTGAAAACACACACAGAGCAGGTTTACAGAGGTGTTTGCAAAGGTTGGCACAAAAGAGAAGACCAATGGTTTTTGACTGAAAGTCTGTAGCTTGATTAAAATAACATCTGTCCAACAGTAATCTCTCACGCACTTTAAAGATGATGGGGATAAATTTCCACACATACTACACTATACACCACACTATTGGCCAGAGAAAAAAAAAGTTAAAAACACAGATCTACATGGTTGACAGCCTACCTCATTCAGTTTGTCAGCAAAAGCTGCAACGCTGGGACCAAATTTCTTGACACCGTAGATGATGACGGCGCCTATGGAGGCGGCAGCGAATGTCTCATGGTTGACGACGTAGATTTCCTTGGAAAGCATGTAGAGGAGGAGGCCAGTGCCCAGCATGTAAGGTCCTGGTGACAAAAAGAAAAATGTAGAATTTTTTCCATAGTCAGTAAAATGATGTGCAACAGTGAGATACAAAGTATGAAGGTATGTAAAACAATCAGCAATAACCACACACAGCTCTCTCTTTCTCTCTGAGCTTTTAATGGTAATGTTTGTAAGAGTGCAGTGTGTTACTGCCAGATGCACTGCTTGCACTCCTCTTTTAAATAAAAGATTAAATCTTTTCTGTTTGCCCTTTACTCTTTTTTTCAGTTAAATTTGGGACTATGTATTCCTATGTTGCACTGCAGTGTCACTGCACTATCATTTTTGGTCTCCTGTGAGATCAGTCTTATTCTATTTAAGCTTATGTTTATCTGTTTATTTTATTCTGTAAATCTTATCTTAATGCTCTTTCTGTTTTATGGAAAGCACTTTGGATTGCCTTGTTGTTAAAAAGGTGCTTAACAAATAAACCTGCCTTACGAAACTATTTATCACTGACTTACTGAGATCATCTCTACATCCAGCCCTGGGCTAAAGACTACAGACCTGTGACTCCAGTTTTGGGGTACAGGAGCTGGAAGAGCTCCTCTGGGATGATGCCATGACGGACTTTGCCTCCTTTCTCTGGAAGAGGGGGAACTGGAGCCAGACTCTGGGATGATGTCTGCAGGGAGCGAGATGCCTGGACCAGGCTGTGGTGGAAAACGCTGTTAGCTTTCATTACTTTTATTGTTAATCAAATTTATCATCACATCAGTGATAGATACAGTAAATAAAACAATTTCTAAAAGACACATACCCAGCTCCAAGGGGGCCACTGCCTTTCAGGGAACTGGCTGCAAAGGATAGAATAAACAACGACATAAGGCAAATACTTGCAAACACTGCATGTTTTCATTAATGTTTAATGTGTTGATTATTTTCCTGATTAATAAACGTGTCTTTAAAACAGTTTCAACCAAAGCTCAACATTATAACCTTGATGAAGGTAGGACTAATTGCACAGCTGTTGTATTAAACTGCATACGTTTAGCTAAGTGTACCTAATACACTGGCCACTGGCTGTATTTAACTTCAATGCTGATAATAGTCAACAAAAACCCAGTTAAAAGGATGAGGCTATTTCAATACCGACAGCACAATACCCACTAAAAGTCAGACTTCAAATAAAAATTTGCGAAAACACACTTTTGTTCGACTTACTTTGTTAAGTTATTGTTGTTTCTCTTCACTAAAGACATAAGGAGCTCAAAACCGAGCAAGGCTAGCTGTCAATAAGGTGACATTTGCAGGCGTGCAGAGCTTACGCTAGTGAATGTAGCTTCTGTTTACTACCGTTAGCTGCCGCCATCTAAATTAGCTTTAACCTAAAGCTTTGACAAACTGGTCGTGATGTCTGCTAGAAATACAGAAAAGGTTGCCGTCTTTTCTACATTCAGACTAACAAGAGTTTCAGAGCAGACACTTCAGTTGTTCCCTACAGCTAGCATTAGCATGTATCTCATTCAATGTGCGGCCTTCACTTACCCTTCACATTCACTTTAAACTTTAAGTTCTCCTGCTTGACTGTTTCGTTATGGCAGAGCTGAGTGAGTCTTTATTAACATCTAAAAAGATAGATTAGAACATACCTGAAACAAAAACGAGCCTGGACAGCATGTTTGTAGGTTGAAAGTGCCGAGTTGTTGCTCCACCGGGCAGCCTTGTTTCGGCCTCTCTGTGCCCTTCTGCAAAGAACCGTAGGGATGGCGGACACACGCGAAATCCCCCTGAAACATCGCGAGAGTAGAGAAGAGTTCCAGTTTTAAAGGAGGCCAGAAGAGGGTGCCCGCAACGGTAAATTCGGATCAATAGAGGTGGGATCATTAAGGCCTTAATGGGAGGAATTTGAGATTATATAATGATACTATGCTGTTTTGGGTTAAGTAATCTTGAGAATGCACGTTTTAGACGTGTGTGTGTGTGTGTGTGTGTGTGTGTGTGTGTGTGTGTGTGTGTGTGTGTGTGTGTGTGTGTGTGTGTGTGTGTGTGTGTGTGTAAATATACTCCTATGAAGGAAAATTGAAGTAAATTGTCAGGTTACTACAGACTGGTTATAACAATAGAATTAACAGCCAGATTAGCTAAAAGATAACTAGGGTTAGGATAATGGTTAGTGTTAGGGTTAAACTGTTAATTGTAGATGCTGTGTTTTCCCTTCACCTTTTAGATATTCCATAGACTGCAATTTATCTAAATGTTTTTTTTAGATTTTGTGTCAGGTCTGTGACAGTTAATAATAATCTGCATAAAAAAACATAAAATTAAAGGTTTTACTACATATATATCTACTACAGAGTTTGGTGGCAAAGAGCCTTCAAACTTCTAAACTGCACTGTTTTTCCAGTTACAGTTTTCTGCCTATGTACCACAGTAGAGTCATTTACACCTTCATTACATCTAAGTCATTAACCCACTTCAATGAGAAATGAGACTGTTAAAAAATTAAAAATTAAACCATCCAAGAGGCAACCACACACACAGCACACAACTGTCTCCCAAGTGGTGCATTTCGTCCAAGACTGCATGCAGGGGGAATTGACTGTGTCTGTCTGTAATCTTGAGGCGCACCCGTGCATGGCATCAGTTTGGTGCGAGTGGCTGGTGAGATAGAGGAACATATGACGCTGTGGTTCTCTTCACTTCCTGTAAAATTATGCTCAACAGAAACAGCTACATGTGAAACACAGACAAAGCTCCCGGACATTATTTCAGTAGAGTGAGAAAATGGATGACTTCTCAGCCAGCTCATGAAGAGTTTTCCCCTACTGAAAGAGATGGCGTAGTAGGTAAGCTTTATGATACATTTCTGCTTATTTAGCAGTTTTTTGTTTTTGCATTATCTTGTGCATTTTCCCTCCACAACTTCAATCAACATTTGCCAGGGCCTACTCTGTCTTTGAAGTTACTCTGATAATTAAAGGAGCTTTCTAAAAAAATACACCAGCAATGCAACCGCTGCAACATCTGCCATGACCTATACTATTACTACGACTACTAGTACGACTATGCTCGTATTTCTATAGCTGCTATTTCAGCTACTTCTACTACAACAGACTTGGATGGGTCACAGAGAATTGCTGAGCTACAACAAAGTATCCTTTACTTTATCCTTTACTTTATCCTTTATTTCATGCATACATCTCACATATATATGGAGCACAGCCTGGTGCTACAGATCACTGATTTTCTTTTCTTTTGGTGAAGCAGGTAAAAGACTCTTGAGATAAAAATGTCAGCTTGTTTGAGAGAAACTAATTCATACCGTCCAAGTATGAGGGCGTATTTCAAACTCTTCCAGTGTTTTCTATGAACTTGAATCAGTCAGTTCAGCAGCTGGACAAGCTGCTAGTTTACAACTCTTAAATAGTTTCTTCAGATGTAACATCAGAGCCATCATACTGCACCTGCAACACTTGAAAATCATATTTTTTTTTTTATCTCCCTGTAACTTCAGTAAATGGTATGCTTTCAATCAAATTGTTTATATACTGTATATTTAATCATTACAAAGATTGATAATCATTTTTTCTGATATATTGTGATTGAAGGATCAAAGCACTCTAACAGCCAGAGGAGCTGCCATGGACATCCTGGCTGGAATAGAGCTCCCCCCAGTGAAAGACTTTGACCGAAAAGTGGAGGTCAGAGCAGAGAAACGCGAACACCTGCGAGGACGTAACAACGCGACTTCATGTCGCAGCCCTACGAGAGAGTTAGACACAAGACTGATCAAAAATGAACTGAAAAAAAAGAGGCAGCTGGAATTTCTGAGGAGGAGATCAGTGAGCCCAGAGCTGTGTGGTCCGTCTTCAAGGATAAAACCTTCACCGAGGACATTCTCAGTGACACATCACAGTTCAAGCAGCAAGTTACAGACATTTCATTCAAATATCCAAACTACTCCCACCGCTAATGGACATCCAAAGATGATTTTAACACCAGACAGCGGTGAAATAGATGGTCCCAGCAGCAGCACATGGGTAAATAAAAGATCATTATTTGGAGTTTTGAATCACCACATCCATGTTATAATACCTGACTCTTCCTCTCTCTCCTCTCTTTTCCTCAGGCTTCATTATGGCCAGAGCAGGTAACACTGATGAGGCAAGAGAAAGGCCATTCAAGGAAGCAAGCGTCTACCTCCACAACAGTGACAATGGAGTCAAAGCAACACAGGACGAATAGAGAGAAAAGTATTAATGGTGAAAACTCTTGCCAATTACATAACATTTTGACCAGTGAGTCTCACGTTATCTTTGATCTTTCGTACTAATAAAGCTGGTTTTCTTCGTCCTTTCTCACAGCTCAAAAGACAAACATCAAAACATTGATCCGAACAGAAAATATTCAGCAGAAATCCTCCCACCAAACTGAAAATATTCTCCAAAAAAAGACATTTCGGGAGGCCGGTGTGCAGACAGAGTGAGTGTGACTTACTGTATATCTCCCTGAAACCTCATTTCATATCAAAAACAGCTGTGATCCATATTTTTTATGTGTCTGTAATATGATATTTTCTTCCCCACAGGTCTGGCCTCGTCACCGTCAAAGAATCAGTGAGTTTCACACTGCTGCTTTATACGCTGGAGTTGTGTGTGTAAACTGCAGATTAGAATAATAATAATGATTAACACATTCAACTGTTATTCTTGTCTCTCATCTCTCAAAATAATAGGATGTCAAGCGGTTAGCTGACTACCTGCAGGTAAACCAACCAAATCTTTTCCAAGTCCATCCTGATCTGTGTTAAGTTCACTCTTAAAGGCAGACATTGTGACTTTTCACAGATGAAAAAACAAACTCCTCCTCTAATAGATAAAAAGTTGAATTCATACGCAATAAAATATCTTCTCTATGTCGAAACACACTGAGGGGTTTTAACATGCTAGCCTATGGTGGCTTATGTTAGCTAATGTTAGCAAACTTTAGCTAGATGTTGCTGTATAACTGACTATAACTGAAGTAAGCTTGTGAATCTTCTGTACTTGTGCCAATGTCAAACTACATCTCTCCATGTACTGTTATCACGTCATTCTCACTCGTTTATTCAGCAAACTGATATAGTTTTGTTTTTGTTTATATATTCTGAAGCTACTATAAGCATCATGCTGTGTGTGGTCAGTTGCCTGGCTTTTAATGCAATAGAATATCAGTTTTATTTTCAGCATCATTAGTGTAAATATTATTTATTTATTTGTAGCATCATTGATTTTGAGTATCAGGTTAAACCTTTAGCTGACTGGCTGCTGACTGTCTTTTATCTACATTCAGTATGTGCGTGTTGTTGTAACTGTCTGTCTTCTGCTGTCTGTTTTCTATCAGGAGGCTCTGTGGCGAGAGGAGGCCATGAAGAAGAAGCTGGCGGCCCTCCAGGAGAGCACGTCAAACCTTCTCAACTCCACAAACATAGTGTGGACGGTAAGACTCTCTCTGTCCGTGTGCGCAGGACGTTTACTTCACACCTGGTGCTTCGCAGTTTACAGTCCAAACACATCACTCTTATTTGAAAGCATCACAGTGTTGCTGCTTCATTCTTTGGCTCCCTGGTTGATATTACACTGAACGTTTCTTTGGTGTACATGCAGTGTACATCATTTGTGTATGGTTGTTTTTGCCTCAGGAAGTTCCTATGCAGCCTGTGGTTTGGAGCTTCCTGCTTCCGCTCTAGTCTATACTGCATAGGAGGAGTGCAAGCTGTCATTCTTGTACAGGAAGGGCGTGGCAGTCTGTAGCTGTTATAGGTGCCATCCATCCTCATCTGCTCTCTTTTATCTACTCTGGCTGTAATGAATTGAAAGGGAAATATTAGTGTTTCCCTTTGTCAATTTTTAATTTGTGTTGGAGGATCTAGTCTTCTGTAAAATTGTTTCTCATTCAGGTTTGTTATTATTAGGCGAAATATTAAATTTTTTCCACTGTTGTAACAGTGTAGTGTTGCAGCACAGTCTGTGCTCACTGGTGCCTTCATGCACCAGTGAGCACAGACTGTGAAAGAACATCCTATCACAGATTTTGCTGCATGAATATTAATTTTCCATCTGCAGGTTACAGCGTGACACTCAGTCATTTCCTGTCTAACCCACACAGGCTCGCTGCAGTGAAGACCTGCTGAGAAACAAGATCAAGGTTCTAGAGTCGCAGCTGCAAGTCTGCCTTCAGGTAAGAATAGCAGCTGGTGGTAGAAGAAGCAACCACTGTGTTTTTTTTTAAATCATGCAATGGGTCTAACAACCCAAACATTTAGTCCTTTGTAAAACAGCCAGCCTGGCTCTACACTGTCACTCTGTCATGTGTTGATCTAACCCAGTACTGTTGTGTCCTTACAGAAGTTTCCAAAAGATGGAGTGAAGAAACTAGTGGTACAGATGGAGAAGCAGAAGCTGATATATGAAGAGAAAGCCCTGGTGGCCCTGCAGAAGGCCACACAGGAGAAAACTGAGGCTGTCAGCAAGGCCGAGACACTGCAGGTCAAACACCTAACGCAAACAAAAAAAAAAACCACATACTTTCACTTTGACTGAGGAGACAGACACATCAGTGTCGCTTACTTCTTTTGGTTTTATGGTGACATGTGTATTCTGTTATATCACATATCAGAAGGTGTGAGATTGAATATTGTGTCAGTATTGCAGCTGAATCTTGAACGCATTGTGTATTTTTGGCAACAGGGATCGCTAATTACAGCCAAGGCAGAGGCACTGAGGTGGCAGAGCCTGTATGAAGAGCTGAAGCTGAGCTCTGGACAACTCAGGGAGAACCAGCACCTCAGTAATGAGCAGCTGCAACAGCTGCACAGCCAAGTGGAGGTACGGTGTACTGTGGCAGTGTGCACAGTCAGAGGTTTGAATGTCAGTGGTTGTTAAAAATGTGTGTGTCCCGTGCAGCTATCCAGAGCCAGAGAGGCCGAGCTGAGGGAGGAAGTGGGGTTGTTACGACAAGAGAAGAAGGACCTACAGTACAACATTCGCCTGCTAGAAGAAGATAACCAGGTTTTAAGAGAGGAAAGCGAGCAGCTTAGAGGTTAGACACTCAGAACTTTGAACCACTGTACGTCTTTTTTTTTTTTTCTCCTGAGTCTGCAAAGCCATGCTCAGCCTTTACCTGCGAGTCATTCTCGGGCTAAGCACTGAGTTCTCTTTGTAGCACCTACAATGCTGCACAGACAACATGGATTTCTTGTTTAAACTGCTTTTTGTTTCCTAGTAGATGGCGACAATGAGAGCCAGGACTTCATGATGCAGGACTGTCTGACGTCAGAGGAAGCAGAGTCACAGCTGACGCCGAGGAGAGACACTCAGGCGGAGGAGCAGCTCCGTTACACTGAGGAGAAACTCCGGCTCAAGGAGAGAGAGGTAACGTTGGGATATCAGAGTTCACTGCGGCACATCCACAACCTCCATGTTTTGTTTGATTCAGCGCTGCTGCACAGGTGATAATCACAGTTTCATGAATCCAGAGTGGATGAGTCAAAAAGAATATAACCCTCACTGCAATTTGCTGTAGAGACTGATGCATAAAGAAAGGCCATTTATATTCACAAAACATGTTAAAGATGCTTTTAAAATATTTTTTAAAAACTCACAATATATTTTTAGTACATCATTTATATTTTGGGCATATTACAAAAAAGCCTAACAGTCAATATTTTATAATATTAAATATTAACTCAACTTGCACTTACGAGCTATTTCAAAATCCATTGCTAATGTAGCTCAAATGATTTTATTCTATTCTAAAAATATTTTCTGAGGGTTCATTTGAGAGAAGTTCAGAGATACAAGTAAAATTCGGCACGTCCAGTTTTAAATACATTCTGAAAAGCGCATCTCTAAAAATGTATTTTCAAATATAATTTACATGATTCCCTTTCATTTGGTGTGTGCATGTGTGTGTGTGTGTGTGTGTGTGTGTAGTGTGAGGAGCTGCAGACAGAGCTGCATGCCATGGAGCAGGAGTGTCAATCCAGCCAGGCCCGGCTGTCGCAGTGCAGGGACGAACTCCGGCAACTCAGCCACAGACGCAGGAAACCGGTGAGCAGTGTTTGTGTGTGTGTGTGTGTGTGTGTGTGTGTTTGCGCATTTAGGGGAATTTGAGACTTAATGTCCTTGCTATACTCAAGTGCTCTCATTTGCCCTCAGGTTGTCAGCCAACAAATATGAATTATTTTACACTTCCTGCACCAATGATTCTTTTACACTTTATTTTGCTGCAGTGAAAACCAGAGCAGCTACAACAAAATGAAATATAACTCAGAGGTTTTCTTCCCTCTCTTCCCTCTTTAGACTCCATCTGGCTCCTGGTGGAGGGTGTTTACGTTCTTCCTTCTCCTCCTCGCTGTGGCGGGGGTTGCCATGTTGTGGCTGTGGCATCCTCCTTTCAGGGAGCAAGTTGAAGACCTCTACTCAGACATAGAGACACGCATAGAAGACTATCTCTTGGAAATGGCCTCTCCTCAACACTCAGGCTGTTTTAGACCAATATGATAATGTCATTGCTCGGGAATGTAATTATAATTATTTAGTTGTTGTTGTTGTCGCTGTTGTTTTAAAATAAGACTTGTATTGACTGCATATGTTTGCATTTCATATTTTATAAAGTGTGTGGGATGTGTCGACATGTGGAGGATGTGCTCTACATGTGTGCACAAAGTTGAAATACACATGCAGTGTGAAAAATGTGTTTTTAAGAAACTGTGAGTCAATAATATCAACAGAATAGTTAGGAGTAGAAAAATATCCTTTGTACTGTAAACAGTATTTTTAGTCAACAACACCACTTTGAATATTAAAAAATATATATATATATTTAACATCCAAGTAATCCTTTCAACTCCTGTGGGAAGGAATTACATCAGTACTATGGGGAACTGGAGAGTTGTAGATTCACTGTTGCTTTAAAAAGAGAGAGTGAGCACAATAAAAGAGCTGTTTAGTGTTTTATATTATAAGAAATAAAATGTACTTTTACAAATGCTGCTGTTTGTCACATTTTCTTGAAACAGTTATAGTCTTAGTGAGACAAAATACAGTAGAAAATATACCGTTCACATCCGATTGTGTCACTGGTTGGAGTCTACAGTTCATGGTGCTCTGGGTTACGTTTAAAGGAAGATACCTGAGGCCTTGGCTGAGAAGACAATGTCAAGAAGGACCACATGGGCAGTCTCTTATAGATTTAGCTGGTTACAGTCCGGAAACATGATTTGCATCCTCACCTTCACACTGCTGTCACTGATTAGTGAAGAAGCATCTTCAGAGTGAGCTCTCATCCTGCTGAGCAGCGGTCTGAAGTATACTTTACCTGAGTATTTCCCTTTTATGCTACTTTATAGTTCTACTCCACTACATTTATTTGACAACAGCAGACTAAAAACTAAACCAGTGGTTTCTGACCCTTTTCGCCTTGTGATCACTCACAATAAACAGCGTCTGGTGGGAGCCACTTGTTACATTTCTGATGTCTGTGAGCAGTTCCACCAAAGAGTGACTTCTCCTCTTCTCACTTCTCAGATGGGTTCATTGAGATAACTGTTTGAGTGGAGGCAAAAGAGGGAAAATCAGAGGTAAAAAAAAATCCAGGGTTGCACAAAAGAAAATATTAGAGAAAATGACATTTGTTTTTCTTCTTTTATGCCCCATTCATCATCAAATGACCCCTCAGATTTTTCTTGTGACTTATATAAAGTAGATGAAACTCGCTAAGCTACAACATTAAAATGCTAGTTATTTAGGTGCCATTTTTCCTCAGATCAAGTACCTTTACTTTTAGTACTTTTAGTACACATTGTTGATGATACTGTATTTCTGTAGTTTAACTTAAGTAGGGTTTTAAATGCGGTATCATATGCATGTATTTTACTAAAGTTCTACTTCGGACTGAAGTCGACAGTATAGCTGTTTACCTCTGGATTCATCCATACATGTCATCTCTTAAATCCTTATGACTACCACACTGTCTTAAAAACTCCCCAAATAGTGTCATCTCCACATAAATATATCTCAAATAATTATATTAATGAGATGTGCTTGAGACAAAATAACTGCTTCAGTTTCAGCTATTTTATATAAACAAAAAAGCAATAATTAACATTTGGATCATTTACTTAAGTAATAGAAATACTCCACTGTGGAAATATTCAATTACAAGTAAAAGTTCTTACTTAAGTACAAGTAAAGAAGTATAAAAAGCAAAATGCACTTAACATTACCAAAGTAAAAGTACTACTAAAAGTACTTACTTGCACAGCAAAATGACCCCTGTCAGACTTGTATTATTATATATTATACAGTAATACTGTATCATTACTATTGATGGGTTAATGTAGAAGCAGTACTTTAATGTTTTAGCGGCTTGAGCCAGAACAAATTTGATCTACTTTGTGTTGCGTAGTTTTAATCTATAACAATGTATCATATTTAAGAACTCACTCACTTTTCTTAAACTCTTCATTTGCAAAGTAACTTTAATATCGGATAAATGTACTCAAACATTTGCTTCTGAAATTCGCTGAGTGAGAGTAGAAAGTGGCAGAAAATGTAAATAATCAAGTAAAGTGCAAGTACAAGTAAAAGTGTCCTTAAAGTGAATGTATTTCATCACACAGACGCACAGATTAATAAAATGTTTCTGGTTTTTACACTTTAACACAACAAGCTTTTGTGTGTCGAGTTTGTCAATATTGATTTTTATTTCAGTCATTAGTGCACCGGCAACACATTTCATGAGCAGACCTACTACAGAAGGAGAGTTGTGCAGTTTTCAACGTATATTTGTAATGTGTAATCTGTGTGTTTCAGTGGCTGATTTTAGTGTAAGTGTATTCATTACAGGAAAATCCTGTTTTTCTGCAAAGACAACACAAAAAAACAAAAAAACAAAACATCCAAATATTATGAGGAAAAATAGAAAAGATTTTCACTGCATTTCATTGGAGAACCATCCCATGACAGTTAAGGCTGGGCCGGTGCTGTCTCAGTGATGCGTTGGCACTGTGTGGTAACTACCAGCCGCTCGTGTGTTTGATATGTGGTAAATTCTACACAAATGTTCATGAAGCTGACAGGCATGACACATGGCACCGTCTATTGTCTGATTACACTCAAACTTACAGACAAAAACACACTCGGAGCTGAGTGGGATGGAGCTATTGTCCATTGTATTCACTGGTTTTAACTGTTCCAGATAAAGCGCCATTCTCAACAGCCACTGACACAGCACATCGGCCACACAGATCCACAGCTCCTGTCTTTTCACCCATGTTTACCTGCATGTTCCCCAAATACAGCACCGTTCATTGAAGAGATGGATCTTTGCCAGACTGAGGTCAGTCTCCTGGTGTAACTGGCACTGAAGGTTAGAGGCTGTGGTGTAGGTTCTGTGGCTGGACTTTTTTTTTTTTTTGTTGTTGTAATATATTTCACAATATGACAAAGGGGATCTTGCCAAACTCTCTCGTACTTACAGAGTGAAGATGAGGACCGCAGTTCTGCTGTTTGGCATGGGGTTGTGTGTGTTGAATGTCACATCGTCACTGAAAATCTGCGCTTTCAACATTCAGAGCTTTGGTGAAGCAAAGGCAAACAACAAGAAGGTTATGGGGATTCTCCTGAAGGTACTCTACTGTACGTGTACAACGACTAGAGCTACAGCCACATAAATCTATACATTCAACTTTCTTGTTTTCTTTTTTTTTGTCTTTGCTCCCAAGATCCTGTCTCGGTGTGATTTGTGTCTTATTCAAGAGGTCCGAGACTCTAAAGGAGAGGCCATACAAGCTTTGGTTAAGGAGCTAAACAGGTACAAGCATTTTTAGGTTTCAAACATGTCAGTCAACAACATCAGCTTTAACGTCACTGTATGTGACCGGTGTTGTCGTCCGCAGATTTGACAAATCCAACTCATACTCCTTTGTGGAAAGTGAAAGGCTGGGGAGGAACACCTACAAGGAACAGTATGTCTACATTTACAGGTAACCCATGCTGTTTACCAGACATGACCCGTCACTGTTAATGGTCAGTTTAACTTGATGTCCTCTTTTTCCTTCCAGGAACAATGTGCTGACGGTCAAAGAGCAATATCAGTATCCGAAACTAGAGGAAGGGAGCAACAAAACCGATGTGTTCTCCAGAGAGCCTTTCATCGTCCGCTTTCACTCCCCCACGACATGTAAGATTAAATGGAAGACATGTTTGGAACGATACAGAAAAAAGAAATGTCACCCTATTACAGTCTAACACAGTATTTCTGGAGGATCCTTGATGTTGTTGCAAATGTAAACATCATATACTGGTTTCAGAAACCTGGATATGCTGGATTAGAGCCATCTATCCAGGTTTCTAATCCTTCCCTTCCATGTGTACAGGTGAGTCCGATCTCAGTCCATGTAGCAGGTAAAAAAAAAATCACACGATGATCATAAATGATGCAATGAAACAAATAAAAATGTAAGTTTTACAGTGGTTGGAGGATGAAGCATCTCTTCCACCACTGATGACCAGATGGAAAAGGTACATCAAGAAGAATAATTAAGTTCAACCTGCAGTTAAAACAGAATTTGCTAGATTAATAGAGGAAGCTGCAGACAGTCAGAAACCTGTATAGCAATATGAACGTATGTAAACATTCGTTTAAGGTGTGTCATAAATGTGTTTTGTGTTTTTCCAGTGGTGAAGGATTTTGTCCTGATTGGTCAGCACACATGCCCAAAAACTGCCATGAAGGAGATGGATGAACTCTACACTGTCTTCAAAGGGATTCACAAGAAGTGGAAGACTGATGTAGGTCAACCCATATCATTATCATCATCATCATCATCATCATCATTATCATAACTCTATATTTTTTTATTCATATCTTCTCTCGCCACCCTCAAAAGGATAAAGGGTATAGCTAATGAATGGGTGGATCTATATCTTGGTCGGAGCCCCTCAGCTTGGTCTCGTGTTGGTTCTCGGTTCTCGGTTCTCTTCTACACATCTTGATCTGTTCAACTTCCCTTCTTGCTTCTTTTCATTCGCACCAGAATGTGATGATCTTGGGGGATCTCAACGCCGGCTGCAGCTACGTCACCGTCAAGGGCTGGAGAGCCGTGCGCTTGAGGAGCGACCCCAAGTTTCGTTGGCTAATTGGAGATGAACAAGACACCACTGTGCGGAAGAAGACGAACTGCGCCTATGACAGGTCAGAGATGGACGACCAATGTGTAGACACCAAGCCCACTAGATAAAGTGATTTCTTACAAATAATCTTCCCACATTTCAACAAACAGGATTATTGTCCATGGACGTGAAATTATTTCCAGTATAGTGCCAGGTTCAGCTCAACCATTCAACTTTAAAGAGAATTTCCATCTCACTGAGGAGGAGGTAAACTTGTTGCCTTGTAAACGTTCCTTATTATTTATTATTCAGTTTGATACTTAAGGTGAACATTAATCCTGATCTCTTGGTGGCTCTTTAGGCTCTTGAGGTGAGTGACCATTTTCCAGTAGAAGTTGACCTCAAGCCCAACCACCGCTACCTCCTCCGCCATGAGCTGTAGACCACTCAGCAATCAACCAACCAGGACTTCTTTATTATAACTGCAGTTTCCCTTGATTTTAGCTGTTAAAATAAATCAAAGTACCAAGCAGAATACTCATTGAGAAGATCTATTCTTTTATAATGACTCTTATCTTCAAAGTATCACTACCCCCATCTGAGTTACATAAGACACCAACATGAGCGGTTTCAGCATGAAGGAACAGCATGTTCGACTGCTGGAGTTTATGTTGTGCGTCTGAAACCAAAACCACATCAAAACTGACATAATTTCATGAGCTCACGAAGGTACGTTCCTACAGAAGCACAAAACATTGCTTTTGTGATTTTACTGTTTTAGAGAGAAACTTTTCTAACATCATTTCATATCTTCATATTTTACAACAGGCTCACATAATGCAGAAACTTATTTATTATTATTGCTTATGTTTTAGTTTTGATGTGTGACTTCTGCACCGTGTGTTTGACAGGAAGCTGCTTTCAGCATCAACAGATGAGCTACTTCGTGCTCTCTTCCTTTCAGAGAGAGGAGATTATCTGTGGCAATGCATTCGTTTTTGTCTTCATATAACTCCAATTAAAGTATTGATTTGTCTATTTGAAAAGATGGAACAAAGTCTTTCTGATCTACTCAGTGATGCATTTTCAGGTAAGAAACAAGTTTTAGTATTGTGGTGTGTATATATATATATATATATATATATATTTATTTTTATTTTTTTTTTTTTAACTATTTACAAAATGGTAATTTTCAAATGATGGTGTTGTTACAGACACATCTGCTCCATCATTTCCTGACGACGATTTGGACTTTGAGAATCTAAATTTTGATGAAAAGCTTGAGGAAGAGAACTCTCATGAAAACTTACAAACAAAGGAAGACAGGGCTCTGCACCAGGAAGCAACTGGTGAAGCTACAGTTTTGTCTACCAGGGAAACCAAAGATATATACAAGCCTGAACATGTTGATGAAGAGCAGTCTGATGATAATGACGATGACGAGGATTTTCAAGGTGTCGGGGTCAGTCTCATGAGCGTGGACGAAACTCCAGAGGAGGATTACACAAGCTCGGATGGAGATTCAGAACAGGAAGGTTCTGTCTCCGGAGAAGATGAGGAGGATGGCGATGAGGAGGAGGATATAGGCACAGGAGAGAAAGGAGGGGATTTGTTGATGTCAGTTCGCTGTGGTGACGAGTCCTGCTATGGTTATAAAGAGGACAGGATCTTTGCTGAGGGACACCCTCTGTCCCCGGAGGGTGCTGAAAACCCTCAAGTTAGAAACGAGGAACAAGGTGAGAGCGAGAGCGATGAGGAGGTGTCCTATTTTAGGCGAATCCCTGAACGTGGCAACGAGATGATGATGATAAAAGGTGATGGGGTTGAAGAGGATGAGCAAGAAAGAGAAGAAGACAAGCAAGACGACTCATCTGATTCTGAGTGTGAGGGCATGAAAGTCGAACAAGAAGAAAATGTTCTTGCTCAGTGTTTTGAGCAGGTGGTTGAAAATCCTTACAGAGGTGAGCCTGCCACAGCCACTTTGAATTCTCCAGAAATATCAGTGCAAAGTCTGCAGGATCCCATAGCTGAAGGTGTTAGTGAGGAATATGTAGAGAAAATGAAGGATTTCTCAGGGGAGGAGCATCAAGAGGCAGGTGAGAGCTTTGCAGATTATCCCTCAGACTTTTCTTCATGTGAATATGTAGATGGAGTCAAAAATCAAGAAAGTAACTCCCAGTCGAACGCCTTGCCTCACACATCCTACAGGGGTTCGAATGCAAAGCAAAACATCTGCCTGGAAGGAGAGGTGACGGATGCAACATGGATGGGAAGAGAGGAGGACACTGATGATGATGAGGGAGACGGGTATCTATTCAGCAGAGATCTGGAGATGGATGATGAAAGGTTCAGGAGTTTCGATGTGGCAGCTGCAGAAGAAGACGGAGGAAAATGTGAGAATGTGTTGAGCGATGCAGCTGTGACAGGGTGTGATGATGGAGCTGAGACAGGTGAGAGTGACTCCTACAGCTCCAGTGATGACGAGGTCCAAGTGAGGAGGAGAGACGAGGGCCTCTTGGATGATATATGTCCACAAGATCTCGACTACGAAAAGAGACTGGAGGACAGTCGGCTTTACAGCGCGAGCACTGCTGCATTTTCCGATTGGAGCATTTCTGATGATCATAACACCGAAAACAACAGAGCACATCCAGCAGATCTCAGCAAAGGCTGGGATTTAGACGTGTCAAAAAGTGCTTCCACTCTGTCTGAGGAGCTGTTAACCACAGAAGGCACAGATACAGCGGAAGCACCTCTTTCATATGTGATTCAGCGTCCTGCAGAAGACGTCAACAGCTACTCAGTGGTGCAGAGAGAGGATGGCAAAAACACAACCCCCTCTAACCAGGGCTCTGTGGATGACAGCTTCTTCTTCAACACTGAAGCCTCAAGGGTCACTGAGCTGGGACATCTGGGAGATGATGAGTACGAAGAGGAGAGGAACTGGGAACAAGAGCAGGAGAGAATCAAAGCTTTCTACAAGTTTTACAATGAGAGCGACGGGGAGAATGAAAGAGGTGAGTGTACATGAGATGTGTATATAGTAATAATATTAACAAGTGTTGCCTGTATTCCATAATTCATCAGTTTCCATTTGTGCATTTTTAGAGAGGCAGATAAAAGTTCAGTTTTGTACAGATCCATTGTCTCAAGTCATTCACTATGAAACTGACAGGTAAGCGGAATTTCTTGTCCAAATTAAACATTGTCCTTCAAACAATAATTACGACCTGAGCTCCACAGATCCAACCAGACACTGTGTTCTTCCTCTTTTCTCACCAGTGACACAGATTCACTCAGCAGCTTCGCAGACAGGGAAGAGGACCTGAGCTCTGCAGAAACACCTGAAGTGAGAATATGATCATTTGCAAATGGTCACATATGAAAACAGACAGCAACACGTACACATGAACAGATTGTTTTAACTGCTTTGTGTGTGCACAGGACCCGAGGGAGCCTGATGACACCCTGCTAATTACACCAGATTGTGATCCCCCGAACACTCTGCCAGAGAGCGCACCAGAGAGCGCACCAGAGAGCGCACCAGAGAGCGCGCCAGAGAGCGTACAAAACTGTACCAGAAAACATAAGGTGTGTGCTCACTGGCCATTACTGAACATTCATTTTGTTCATTTGTTCCTTTATTTTTTGGTTATTTGTATACCTCCTGTTTTTTTCCCCCTGCAGTGTCTCGGCATTCTGAAGCAGATGGTGAAGATGGGTCTGCTGATAGGGGCGGGTTTGCTGGTGTTCTGGATGGGCACAGGCCAACCAGACTGGTTCACATCCTTCTTCTAAGGCTACGTGTCTTTTTTTTTTTTTTTGCCATTAAAACATGTTTATATGCTTACCCATGTTGGAAGAAAGATCCAAAATGACAATATGGCTTTGTAAAAATGCAGTTTAAAGTGCTAGATTGAAAATTGTGAACCATTATCTGTAATATGCAACACTGTGCTTAATAAAGATTTATCTTTGTTTAAAATGTTGCTGATGTATTTGTATGAACTTCAGAGAAGTTGTCTTCCCATTACATTAGGGCTAAATAAGCCTTAAACTAAGGCCTCTACTTGTACTGTATTTCTGGTGAATTAGTGATAAGCCTGACACATTGAATGTCATGTAAAATGTATTATTTGTGGTAGAAAGTAACTATTTTCTATTTTCTGCTATTTTCTTCTTTGTTTTCATCTCAGATGGAAATCATTCTCTTTATTCTGCTGCAAGTATCTGATAGTAATATATACCAGTAACTTTGGAAATATGATAAACTTGCAAGTTTTTTTTTAAATTTTTATTACCAGGAACCCTAGTAAGATGCTGCTGCATGTTAATGTATCAACAATAATTTATTATTTTGTTAAACTGTATCACAACTATGAATAGAGTTAATATCAATAAAATACATAGATAATAATTACCTTTTTTTTTAATTAAAAAATCAAATAATAGCCTATAACAATCTGGAAGGGGACTTTCTGCATATGAAACAGCACACTTCAGATCAAATCAGCAAACACAACACAGGCAAATGTGAATACTGTAGACAAGAGGAAACAGTGGAGCATGTAATGGTTCATTATGAAAATATCAATCAGACAGGATGCACCTGATTCAAAATTTGAGAGGGATAAAAATAGACTTTGAAAAAAAAAACTATTACATGTACTGCAAAAGAACTCAAGGGAATGCTATTAAATCTTATTCCAGTGAGAGGATGTGAATTTTTAAAAGTATTATTACTATTATTTTTTATTTATTTATTTATTTATTTATTTGTTTATCTATTTTATTTTTTTTATTTAATTTTGGAATAAGAGTAGGCTATTAGACATCCTGATCCATACTCCATTCCAGTTGGTGGCGGTAATCTATCAATTCGTTGTTTGCCAACCGTCAATAAACGTCAAGGAAGAAGAACAACAACAAGAAGAAGAAGGAGGAGAAGAAGAATTTGCCAAACGGAAATGACGTCTCATTTTACTGAAGGTGCAAATGTTTTCAACATCTAGCACAAACAAACGAGGGCGGGTTTTAGCATCTGCATGTTTTCGAGCCACCGGAGGATCTGTCCCTATTACCCGCGCGACAAATCGAGCTTCCGCTCATTATCGGTGGGCGGAGTTATAACCGTGGTCTCTTTTTGCGAACTGAAACTACAGCTCAACCGAAACAACACAGATATAACGCTACAACGAAGTCTAACGACAAAAAGCGAACTAAAACAATGTCTTCGCTAAGTAGTAAGTCTGCGCAGGACATTAGCGACCTGCTGGATGAATACGGGATAAAGCACGGACCTGTGGTCGGTGAGAGGCTCTTACTGTTTACTTTTTGCCCGTTTTGAATCAACGTGTACGCCAGTTAAGTACACAGGCCTCCCCCTGCTTGTGAGAGTTTGCTCTTTTATCGGGTCTGTGTTTTTTTCTATGTACACTTGTTCATTATTCCTTAAATGTCTATGACCTTCTGTTCTCAGACTCCACCAGAAGTCTGTATGAAAAGAAGCTGAGAGAGGCCATGGCCAAAGGGAAAAGAGCAAGTTATAGACCATCACCTGACAAGACCTACTACAGAGAAGAGGGTAAGTGTCTCTGTCTACTCTTTTCTCTCACTCACATGCTGGGCTAAAGAGCTCATCTCACTTGTTGAGGAGGTGGACATGTTGTATATCTACAGGAATAAATTGTGTTCAAACTTAGATTGAACTTTGAAGAAAAATGGTTTAAAAATATCTTGTTAAAGGCTAAATTAAAGAGAGTTGTGCATATCAAACAATTATATATAGACTAACCACGCACTTTATAGGAACATCTACTTGTAATAGATCACATGTACACCTGCTTATGTGTGTTAATGTTCACATATCAGGATGGGGAAAAAATGTGATCTCAGTGACTTTGACTGTGGCTTGATTGTTGGTGCCAGACGGGCTGGTTTGAGTGTTTCTGAAACTGCTGATCCCCTGGGACTTTCACACTCAACAGTCTCTAGAGTTTACTGAGAGTGGTGCGTAACACAAACACAAAAAAAAACCACCTTGTCGATGAGAGAGGTCAGAGGAGAATGGCCAGACTGGTGGGAGCTGACAGAAAGATTACGGTAACTCAGATAACCAAAAAACTGAAAGCACCTGTGCTGCTCTTTGGTTTAAATTGACTAGTGGTGATGTTAATCTGGTGATTGAGTGCAAACTGTATGAACTCAAACTGAATAACCGAACCTCTGGAGTCAAAATATTATTGAGCAGTGATTACTGTTCTCAGGTGGGCCACTCAGGTATGTAAATGTTCACTTGCTCTGACATAGTGTGATGTTTGTGTTTTTATTTCAGAGGAGGAAGTCACCTACGTTTACAGGACACCAGTAGGTATCCTCCAGATTTAAAAACCTGAAATTCTATAGAAGTGCATCTCCATCACTGGCAAATGTCATTTAAGTTCGCTGTTAACCCCTCTGTGTAAAAATTGGCTACAGGGCCCTCACCTTTATAGTTTGAGTGACCAACATCTGAGAGGTTTTGTTGCCAGAATTTATCAATGAAACAATGTAGTCAATTATATTTATATAGCCAAAAATCACATATTTGTTGTAACAGAATTATGAGTTAATACTGATTGAGTAGGACAAATTTCAATGGTCATTATTTCTGTTTCCAATATTGCAGGTCAGAAGTGACGCTGCAGGAGACTATGGAGACGGGTCAGTTCTTTTCCTTATTCTCTCCTGTTTTTTCAAACACTGATTGTCTTTCTTCTATATTTTGTGTTATTGAAGAAGCGAATACAAGTCAGTCTGAATTAATAATTACCTTTTTCACCTGTCTAGTCGGCCTTCCATGAGCTCAAGACCAGGGTGGTCTGAGAGAGAATTCGAACATGAGTAAGTCACAGTTATACTAACTCTTGTTGTCATCAAAGTGGATGAGGGGCAGACAAAACTTTCATATATATGTTCTATGTCGCTCTTTACAGGACGTCCTACTCAACCTACTCAAGGTCAAAGCCTGAATACAGAGGACAGACTTTTGTTGATGAGTAAGTGTATTTACACAGAGTTAATTGGTGTCATCAGCTGTTTAGGTTCAATTTGTACATTTGACATTTTAAGTATATTTTGCTAATAAAATTTCATGTCATGTTTTATTGTATATTATATTATAGCATTTTAATGCTGCTGTCTTGCTATAAGTAAAGGATCTGAATAATACCTCCACCACTGATTGTTTAGTCTATAAAAAGTCAGTTTAGATGTCTCATTTTCTCAGACAAACTAACAAGTCTAAAACACAAAGATGCAAGTATGTAAAACGGAGAAAAGCAGCTCATCTTGGAAACCAGAGAATGATTGGTCCTTTTTTTTGCTTGAAAAACAATTTCAACAATTGATTGATTGTCAGATTTGTTGTTGTTTCTGTCAGAATTACACTGACTGGCCCGAGGGGGGCAGCACTGAATTTACATTCAGTTAAGTAATGTTAAATAAGGATGAAACAGAAAGACATTTGAGTTCATGATGAATCTCACTACCTCACCTCTTACCGACATTACACTAGCTGAAACTAAAGGCAGCACCTGTGTTTGAGGTCAGAACAGGCTCACATTTGTTTACTGCTAGTTTGTGTGGGAGACTGTTAATTATGCACTGTAGCATAATTCCTCTTATTCCTCTGCAGGCCCAACATATACGAGAAGGCAGTCTCTTACAGAAACTCCAATTTGAAATCGACGCCCATGAAATATGAACAAGATGCTCCGAAGGCACCGAAGTCATCTCGCCTCATCCCACTGTGGGTTCAGTTCGTGTTCTTCCTGGCTGTGGCAGTCTTCCTCTACTTAGTTTTTTCCAGTATGGAGACAAACGAATCCCTCAAAGGAATAGAATGATTTGGTCTTTTATTCATGCTGCTGTTTACAGGGCTGTTACACTTTATTATACATTTTAATGCAAGGAATGTATTTTGGTTAATGCCTTTATTTTAGACATTGCTGAAATTGTGGTTTATGCAATATTTGTGTGTGTTATAATTGTAGTTTATTTGCTTGCTTATGCTTAAAGGTAAAATACATGATCGTCACTAAGTACAGCAGCACTACTAGAATAGATGGGGATGCCACTTAAAAAACATAAAATCGTACTTCTTCTTACGTAGACAGCATCTGTCTACCTGTCCTGATAGTTTCACTGTCATCTGTTCAAATTTCTAGATAATCAGCCTCAGCCAGGCCCAGTACAGTGCATGCAGTGGAGTTCGGTTCATGGTGCTAAATGTGAAAAGAAAAGTACATTTTTAAAACTTAACTCAGATACTATGCCACAGTTGCATATTAAATATCCACAAAATACTGACTACAGTTCAGTGTCAAAGGTGCTGTGACAGATCTTTTATAGTATCCCAAAAATTTTCTTTTTTCCATTGTTGTAGTGCTTGGTGTCTCATGGTATGCTGTGGATATTGTTAATAATTATATACTCGTACAATTCTTCCTTTTGTCAGTTATCTGAAATAATTAAAGTTTGTGATACAAGTGCCTCAACCGTTTTATAGGATTAATTGGGATATAATTGTTAATGTTTTTTAAGTGTTTAATAAGTAGTTGGGGAAAAACTTTTATCTTGATTTAAAAAAAGAAAAAAAAAAAAAGAGGTTGCACTTGTTATACAAGCTGTGATGTCATGTTTATGCTTTGCTTCACTAGAATTAATTCAGAGATATCACACTTTTGTACTACAAAATTCAACCTTTACACCCTGTTGTGAATTGTTTTGAATTTGCATTTCATAATCCAAATATAAAAGACCTTTAATGAGTAAACAAGTGTCAAGTAATTTATTCAGGAGCAAAAACAAAAATTAAATGTTTAAATAACTGAGGGTATAAAAATAAACAAACTGTATGATGCATTATTGATAGCACTTTCTCCTTTTATGGAGTTTGATCTGATGCTATTAATTACACAGTACATGCAGTAATATTAAAAAAAAACTGAAGCGAAGCTCCAACAACAGCAACATTTTAATCAACTCTAGTTTCTACTTACACACTAAGTGCAGTACATGTAGTTAATGGCATAAGATGCATAGTAGGGTTACACTTAAAGTACAAAAACTTCTAATCCTTAAAGGATCATTGATCTGTGGAAGCAAGTACATAATAAGCTAGTGGAGCTTGTCATTATTGTTACCTGTTAATAAATATAAAACAATGTTTTTGAACTGGATATACAGTGGATATAAAAAGTCTACAGACCCCTGTTAAAATGCCAGGTTTTTGTGATGTAAAGAAATGAGACCAGGATAAATACTTTTTTTTAATTTACTTTTTCCACCTTTAATGTGACCTATAACCTGTACAATTCAACTGAAAACCAACCAAATCTTTTAGGGGGGAAAAAATAAGAAGACTAAAACTATATATATATATATATATATAAAATTAAAAAAAATAAAATAACGTGGTTGCACAAGTGTGCACACCCTTAAACTAACTCTCAAAGTCTTTTTGGGTAGGACTCTATCAGTATGGCACATCTTGACTTGGCAATATTTGCCCACTCTTCCTTGCAAAGGCGCTCCAAATCAGTCAGATTGTGAGGGCATCTCCTGTGCACAGCCCTCTGCAGGCCACCCCACAGGTTTCCAATTGGATTCAAGTCTGAGCTTTGGCTGGGCCATTCCAAATCTTCTAGTGAAGCGATTCTTTTGTTGATTTGGATGTATGCTTTGGGTCGTTGTCGTGATGAAAGATGAAATTCCTCTTCATCTTTCTAGCAGATGCCTGATGGTTTTGTGCCAAAATTGACTGCTATTTGGAACTGTTCATAATTCCCTCTACCTTAACTAAAGCCCCACTTCCAGCTGAATAAAAACACCACCACCACGCTTCACCGTGGGTATCGCGTTCTTTCTATGATGTGTTGTTTTTACACCAAACATTCCTTTTGTAATTATGGTCAAAAAGTTCAACCTTGGTATCATCAGACCATAACACATTTTCCTACATGCTTTTGGGAGACTTGTTGTATGTTTTTGCAAAATTTAGCTTGGATGTTTTTCTTCCGTTTTGCCACTCTTCCCCCGTAGCCCAGACGTATGAAGAATATGGGAGATTGTTGTCACATGTAGTACACAACCAGTACTTGCTAGAAATTTCTGCAGTTCTTTTAATGTTAGTGTAGGCCTCCCTGACTNATCTTTCTAGCAGATGCCTGATGGTTTTGTGCCAAAATTGTGCCAATTTCTGCAGTTCTTTTAATGTTGGTGTAGGCCTCCCTGACCAGTTTTCTTCTTGTCTTTTCATCAATTTTGAAGGGATGTCCAGTTCTTGGTAATGTCACTGTCGTGCCATATTGTCTTCACTGAAAGTTCTGAAATGATTTATCGTCTCATTTTTTTTTACATCACAAAAACCTGGCATTTTAACAAGGGTGTGTAGATTTTTTTGTATCGACGGTACACAGAAACCTGAAGAAGCTATGTCACAGTTTCCCCAGTTTAGCTTTTTGCAGCAGATTTCTACACCATACATCTGGGGTCATGGCAACAGCTAAGTCTGAGTGAATCTGAAATCCAACCTGAACCAAGATTGACTTTGAACTGGACATAGTTTCTATTGTCTGTCAGTCTTCTGTGGCCATTCGCTTACATCTCACTATAACACAATGCTTAATAGCAAATCATATCCATGGCTTCCCTGCAGTAATGCTAACCTGAAGTTTGGTAAGAAAGAAAACTGCAGTACAGTCTCAGGTCTATGTTTGTGTCCATTGAAAGCTGTGCTTCATCCAGACTGTCCTGAACTGGGTCCAGCTGCTGCCTTTTCCAAAGGTGTGGTGGATGATCAGCCAAACTGTTTGGTTCTGTGTTATGTCCCCTGCCACCTGAATCCATGGAGGACACAGTGTGAGCCTTCTGGCTTTCCACCACTCACTAGTGATTCTGCTTGAAAGGAGAAACACAAAATCCTCCACTTTAATTCACTACTCTAGCACAATTAAGAATATGGATATGGTAATAAAAGTAAATTATAATAGTGCCTATAAAAAGTATTCACCCTCATTTGGAGCGTTGACAGCATTAAAAAAAAAAAAAGAGCCTTTAATGTTAAAGTGAAAGCATCTGGATTATTACAAAAATAAAATACATGTCTGCAGAAGTATTCATCCTCTTTAAACAGGACATGCCTTAATCAAAACTGGTGTTTCCATTTGGTTTTAGAATTAGTTAAATGGAGATGACCTGTGTGTAGTCAAGGGGTTTCACTTGATTTTGAGTTTAAATACATCTGGAACTAGAAGGTCTACCTTTTAGTGAGTCAGTATCATGGCAAAATCCTCCACAATGAAGGCAAAAGAACACACCGAGCAACTTACAAAAATGTAATCGAGAAGCACAAGTCAGGAGATGGATACGAGAAAATATTAAATCCCCTTTGATTTATTGTTGCAAAACCATAAAACATGAAAACTTGTGATGAAAAAGTGTGGTGAATACTTTTTATATACAGTGTTTGTGCAAGAATCATGAACTTCGATACCTTTAGTTATCTGTTGCCTGCATACCCCGTCATAGCTTGTTAATTGATAAGGCAACATAAGTGTTGTCCACACCTGTAAGAAGAAGCACACTTAATAAAACATACAGCGTATCCCCAGCCTTATTAGCATGGGTACACATACAGGATGCTTTCTAAAAGCCATATCCCTTTCTACAGTATATAGGCGTCTGGTAGAACAAAGGAACTTACAGGTTCTGGTCTCTCGCTCCAGTTCAGAGGGCTTCTTCTCTTTGTTACACAGTACCTTGGCCACAATGATTATAACAACAACAGCTACGACAAATGTCAGGCCAGACACAAGCCAGCTGATCACCATTGGACTGAGCACTGGATCTGGGTCTGGGGGTCAAAGGAGTTATCTGTAAGTTTTCATAGATGGAATTTCATCCACTGCTGCAACTAACTGTGTCAAGCTGAAGTGCACTTGCAAACGAGTGAAACATACAATCTGTCCAGTGAAGAACTGTGAGGAAAGCCTAGATAGAATATAATCAATGTAAAATTAATATTAATATCACATTATCACTCTGTTTTTAAGCAACTCTTATTTATAGCACAGACCACACACAATACTTTTCTTTATCTTTACAATATACTGCATCTCTATAGTCTATAATATTATTAGTTTTCACCTCTTATGGCTATAGGCAGGGGCTGGCTTTCTCTGGAGACGAAGGTGCGTCCACCCAGCTGGACCCGATACAGGCAGTAGTAGTAGCCCTCGTTGGAGCTCTGGGCGTTGGGAAAGGTGAAAGTGACAGACGGGGTGAGGGCAGGCAGGGACTGGCGCACTGTGCCGTTGGAGCGAATCAGACGCAGCTGGAAGGAACCTCCAGGGTACTGCTGCGCGGTGGAGCAGGTGATATTAAAACTGTGGCCTTTGATGACAGAACCAGCCGGGGCATCAGTGGACGTGTTGTACCAGTGTTGGGGAGTCAAGAGTTCCACTGTGATCAGACACAACAAAAAAAAACAGGAATTCAATAGGTTATTCAAGGTCATTCAGGACCTCTCTTGAAACAGTGTGGATTCAGCTGTAACCTGATTTGGGTCTAAACCATATTATAACCACAATTTTTCTCCAAACCCACATTTGTTGTTATAAAACATTCTAAAATAAGACAGTCTTTTCAGCCATCTCTGTTGACTCTAGATTTCTGCAAATTGATGAGCGGTGAGAGTGCGGCGTTCAAATCAGAACATCAGATGAAGATTTGCAGTTTTCTGGAGCTTTCATCCACATCGCACAGTCTTCTTCAGGAAATGGGGCTGCCTAATGCAGTTGAAAACTCAGAAAAAATAACTTTGGAGTTTAGATTATTTTGTTACTCACGCTATTCCCAGAGATCAACAAAGAAACTTCCAATGCTCAAAACCAAAATTTCTGACGTGCACCAAGTTAGGTGTGAGGACATTAATAAAATTAAACTGAACCTGATTCAAGAGACTTAAGAGAAATCAAAATCCAATGTGGTGCAGACCCATTAGGTTGAGTCAGCCAGAGAATCAAACATCTAATATAGATTGCACAACAAAAGGATGTGCTATGAGAATGGGGATTGGTACAATAAAGTTAACTGGTGCAATAGAGATAATGTTGATTAGACAATGTGGCTATGACTGACCCACAGTGATGTTGATGGAGTTGCTGGGTGGAGAGCTGAGCAGCTGAGAAGGAAAGCCACCCTTGATCCTATACCGACAACTGTAGCTGCCCTGGTGGAAAGTCTCTATGTCAGACAACGTGAGCTCCACTCCGGGCTGGGTCTGGTCGGCCCTCTGTGTAACCAGCGGTGTGGCTACTCCAGCCTTGTACAGGTGGAAGTCACTGAGGTGGTGACCCAGTAGAACACTGCAGCCGAAGCGAACAGCCTCCCCAGGTGAGAACACAGTGTGAGGTGACAGCAGGGCGAGTGTGGGCGTTAAAAGGGTACCTGTGAGTAAAGACAGGTTAATCGCAAAATGTCAGGATGATCCAATGCACCATACTCTTCTGCCTATCAATAAGTATGCTGACATGTAGACTATTATGAATACCAGCCTAATGTTCCAGCTACCCAAATTATCTCACTGCACAATCCTGTGTTTCAGATCATTTCTGTGTATTCCAGACATTTTTTCTGAATTACTATGTTTGGGATTTATAATGTCCAGGTTACTCTACACAGGATTTAATGTTTATATGTACCAGCTCTTGATTATCAGGATACTCGAGAGCTGATCCTGAATGATCAAGTGTCAATTTACTTGGAGCCAATGGTAACTCTAGTTACTAACAGTCAGCCATCTGGCAGTACTCCTTGTTAGATAAAATACATCATCAGACTAGAGTCTCACCTGAGCATTTCACCCCTGCATCATTCTCATGGGTGCAGTAGGAGTTACTGTGGAGAACAACAGCACAGCGTGTCAAACTGGATTCATGTCCAGTGCACTGGACATGCCGCAGCCAGATCTCTCCTCTGCCCGCACCAAATGCTGCATCATGAAGGGCAGATTCAGCTAAGCCACAGCCCAGCTCCAGGCACACCACATCAGCCTCCCGGAGGTCCCAGCCATGGTCGCAAACTGTCCCCCACTGGTCATGGCGGAGTACCTCAACTCTCCCAGAACACTTGTTGTCCCCATCTACTAGTCTGACTCCACCTGTGGACCGGAGAAAAATTACTTAGAGATAGAAAATGTGGGAAAGGCTGAGGATGCAACAGGTTTGTATCAATACCAGGCTTACCAAAGGCATTAACTCCATCCCATAGAGCACCTAACAGGCCTGTGAGGACATCACAAACAAGGAATTATGCACAGGCAAAAAACAGACTCAAATCCATTCAAAATGTCAACAATAGCATCTCTTTTCCCTCGGCTGGCGCGCTTAACACTAGCAAAATGAATGCAGTCTATTACAGTACAACAGTCTTGTAATGAACGAATCATTATCATGGTGTTCAGTTTCTGATGTGTTCGGTTGTGTTGCATGACATTGAGAGATGTTTCAAATAGGTTTCTATTTAGCTTTACTTAGCAATTAGGCTTAGAGCACCTGTCAGTTTAACAAACTCCATCCTCCAAAATGACCACACAGTTAAATCAGCGCCTTTTTACCCTTCCTGAGGATTCGAGCCTATGTATTGAAGAGCTGTTGTATTATACTTCCGTAACTTCAGCAACGTGAACCCAATACACCGGTAACTTACTGTTAGATATTTTACAGGATATTTACATGTAAACAACAGGTCCATGTTCAACCCAACTAAGGAGAAGCGGCACTCGTAATGTTAATTAACGTTATAAAACAAATTTTCAGTCATAATAACAAGACAATGTCTCTGGAAGTCACAGATGCCACTAAACAGTTTTTCTTTTCTTAGGTGAATGTAACGTAATACCCTTTATGGTTATCCTATTGCATAATCACGTAAGCTACCTAGCTGGTCCTGCCACAGACCTAGCTAGCTGACAAACGAGCTTAGTTAACCGCTATTAGCCGACTTAGCTCACCTGTTAAAAGGATGTGGAGGAATCTCAGCATCGTCCCCCTCACCTTTCCATCAGACGGCCGGGGGTTGCCCGTTGTCCCGGTGATGGTGCTGACAGCCGTTCAAAGATAGCGACGGCACAAGACATTAGCTGGTTTGTGTCGTGCTAGAGAGACTTGGATTGGCTAACTGAACTAGGAGCTAATGGCTAAGCAACTTTGACCAACTGACACTTATCGGCGAGGGTGTAAGTTAACTGCACACATGGTCGATAGCCGAGCGGTGCTGATAACTGACAAAAAATTAATTCTTGTCTCCAAATCAAGTGGAACTGTTGGTGGCTCTCACAACAACGAGATGTCCAGAAGACAACGCTGGGTAAGCTACATGCCGTCAGGCCGCCGTACTCACGTCAACAGTCCAACAGTTTATCCCATGAATCCCAGCGCTGAGCCCTACTCCCTGCGGCAGACAGAGGTCACTACACCGCCGCAGCAAAGCATTTAAACTGTTAGCTTCCTCTGTTGAGGATCACCACGGGCGTAGCCAGAAACCCTGGGCACTGCAAAGTCAGTGTACATACTTAAAGTTACCCTGTGGTGGAAGAGCATGAGGGGTGGAGGTAACCAAAATGATTTGATAAAAATGGAGGACTTCCATGGGCAATTGCTCACTTTGCTTTGCCTGGTTTGCAAACCAGCATTGGTTTCTGCCATGTAATATTAAAAGGCTTTTTATTTTATCTTACCTCAGACTGTCTTGAATTATTTATTTTTTGCCCCTTAAATGTGTTTAATCATATGACCACACATCAAATCTGAAGTATTCTAACACAGGAAAACTGTATAGAGTACCACATTCTTATAAGTTACCTTAAGTAACTGATGGCTTCAGTAATGGCTAATAAATAATTTACCAATACTTTAATGATCAATTATAAGCCATTAAAGGAGAGGTTTTCAAGTCCATCTTAATACAATACTGACATACCCATATGTAGTTTGAAAGCATTACTGGTCACTGTAATTGTTCCTCCTGTATGGTAAAGACACCCCCTCTTAAAGCAAAGCCAACACAAGCAACGGGTATGATTTGACAACACATGCCCGACAAATACTCACAACACAACCAAATACACAAATGTGCTGCAAATACTGACAACACAACGGAAGTGTTTCCAGGGGACACTAAAAAGTGATGAACCTGGCTGGGGCGCTCCTTTTGTTCAATGCCCAATTGTGACTTCTGAAGTTAAAGGCATTGACTTGTGTCTGCTGGAAACATTTCTGTTGTGTTGTCAGTATTTGCAGCACATGATGTCAAATTGATGTGAATTTGTTTGTGGCTTGTCTATTTGCATGTGTTCCCTTAAGCTGCAGTGCTTTGAGCCCTCAGGGCCACCGTACATGGGGACAAAATACACATTTGCTGAGAATTGTTTTGTGCAAAATGCATTCTTAAGTTTAGCTGAAGCTAATGATACTCCTCAGTACTCTGAGTTAGCCAAACCAAGTGGATGTCTTCTGCAAAATAATTAATTATGCAATTAATAATTATGTTTATATTTATGCTTCATTTAAGTCTATGTATATAGATTTGCTTTCACTTTGGAATAGAATATAATTTTTTTTTATGTTAATCAGGGTCATAAAGGCCTGATACCATCCACTGTTGGTATAAGATCCCCTGTATACATTTCAAGAGAGTAGGATTAATAGACATCAACTTATTGTAGACATGACCATTCAGGAATTTAACACCAACACAAAACGCTTTGGTCATGAGCCTGTTCTTCCTTGTTAGGGAGGACAATCTAGGTCAATCAACTAAACCACAGGAGGAAGAAGAAAGTTTTGCTGATTCATGTCTGACTGCTCAAATGGTTTCACACATAAAGTGACTTAACTCAGTAAAAATCCTGAGGCATATTTTCCATTTCATATAATTTTCCTGTCAACTATGACTTTGCTTTTCAGTGACCCATGGTGGCTTTTCTTCCTTTTCCTCTATGTTGACCAAATATGTTTACATACATATGCCTCTTCAAGATAGACTTGAAAACCTCTCCTTTTTTGCCTCATTTGTATTCATGTCCTGGAAGGCCTGTGAAGGCAGTGGGTAAAATGAATTCAGCAAAATACAGAAGAAATCCTGAAAACCTGCTTCAGTCTGAAAGGGAGCTGCAGCTTGGGAGATTTATTTTCCATGCGAGACCTAACCTCAAAACATAATGCCAAAGCAACAGGAATGGTTATAAAACAGCAATGTCAGAATACTGTAAATGGCCAAATCTGACCAGAGTCTAGCCCTTAATCCAATTCAGACATTTTATAGGACTTGAAATTTGTCCATCCATGGTCCCAGAGCAGTTTTGCAAAGATGAATTGCAGCATTCAAATGTGCAAAGCTGATATTTTATATTTTAATATTTGGACTATTTGTATCTCACCATGGTCACTTTGGCATTAATCTTTAATGTTGACCAGGGTCATAAGATACTAACTTGTTGTAAAACATTAAAGCATGAAAACATCCAAGGGGGGGGAATACTTTTATAGGCATATATGAACAGTGGAAGACTTTTTTCCAGATCTGTGACTCTAGGTGAGGTAAGTAGGCATTACTGAAAAAAACAGTAATACATTCTCAGCAAATGACAGTATGTAGAAGGAAATGATTAGAAAGCACATCTTGGGATTCAGTCATTGTATAAACACAAGTAGCAAGCAGAAGAGAACCTCTACTACACATTGTAGGGATTATACTTATATCTAGAGAAATTTAAGTCTCAAAAGTGGGATAAAATTAAATTTGTTAAAAGGAAGTTCTGACTGAAGACTTTTCACCCACATTCCTCCTGTATTGTACAGTATTTTAATCTTTTGTATCTCTCGGGTGTTGTTTTCTACCACACCCTCACATACATTTCCTTCATGTACTTTGCACTTCTGCATGTGAAATTAACAAGATAAAAATCAGTAGTCTGCCATTTTAGCCAAACCTTAATGTTGACACAAGGTACAAGGCCCTGATTAAATCAATTAAGCAGAATATACGAGTTTCAGAACAGGACCAGCCAATTAGTCCCTCACATATTCTGATATTTCAGTTATTGAGCCATATTGACAGTGAAACAACCCTGCTCTACTCTTGTGCTTGGTACTAACTAAAGGCAGATTTCTGAATTATTGCGTCAGTATTAAGATCAACAACCAACTGATGTAGTTTCTTGATGCAGTTTATTGAGCCACTGGTCAAAACAGCATCTAAGTTCCCATTATATTGTAAAAGGTGACCATCTTTTTCTCAAAGAAAAAAAAATACACATAAGCCTGTATATATGTGTGTGTGTATATATATATATATATATATATATATATTAATGAAAAATATGAAATTTCTCTGTAATTCCAACTTCAAAACCAGCACATTATTTTTGTGAAACAAAACTCTCAAAATGGTCTGTGGTCATTACACTGCAAGGGACAGCAGTATTACTTGCACTTAATCTGAATAACCTCCCTTTGTTAACTTAATGAGTCGGCCTGCACAGTCATGTGTGATGGTACATTTACCACTGATAAAAAGAAACAAACACCGTCATAAAATAACAAAACATAAAATAACTTAGTTAACTTAGCACTAGTCCTCTAAGAAGATGACCTTTTTCACAGGTTTGGAGTTTCAATAAGTACCACGACTTCTTGAATTGTTTTTGATAAACTCCTAACGATCAAGCTTTCAATAAAATAATCTATTTAGCTCTTTGGATAACAGTACAACCTGCTTCAGTTCCACCATAAAAGTCTCTGTAGCACCACATCAAAATATGTACAGTATGTGTTGCATTTTCAAAAGTCTCTTGCCCAGTGTGTCTCAGGCTTTGTCTGGAAAACGCCAACTTTCAAACATGTCTTCATTTGGAGTCTCCCAACAGATGGACAATGAGTTCATAAGTGGAGAGGACGATGGCTGTGTTAGGGATTTGTCTAATTAGCTGTGGAATGAGTCCTCTATAAAAAGCTGCATAACCTTCCTCCACCGCTATTAACCTCCCTGTCTGGAAGAAATACTTGTACTTGCTGCCTTCCTCACGCAGCCTCGTCCGTATGACCTCTGTGGACACAAACACAAAGAGGTATTAGTCATGTAAGTAAATATAATCACTTCTCCCTGACATTAGGTTGTTCCAAGAAAACAATGCAAGTGTTTACCATGTGGGTAGGCGATGCAGGATGCACAACCCTTTGAAAAAGCAGCTGCCAACATCAGTCTCAGGAAGTCTGATGCTCCTTTCTCGTTTTCGCTATTCGGGGAGGCAAATTGGCTCTTGGCGAGGTGTTTCTTTAGTGTCTCATAGATGAGGAAGCAGATCATGGTCTCCGAGATGCCAGCATAAGATGCAGTCAGGCCTCGGTAGAAGCCCCGGATCCCTTCCGTTTTGTAAACATAGCGAGCACACTGCAGTGCATTCATCTTTTTCTCTCCTCTGGCTCTGAAAGATCAGGCAGGTCAGGCTCATTAGTGCCAAAAAAATAAAAAACAACTAAAATAAATCACATTACAGAAGGACTACAACTATAACTAACAACTATTTTAACTACTGATGATCATATATGTTTTATATTCATCAACTAATCAGATCAGAATCAAATCAGTTTACAAAATGCCAAAAATAATGAACGTCCATCACAAGGTGCCACAGCCCAACAAATTGACAAACAGCTCAAGTCCTAAAATAAAATTTCACAAAACAGGCAGTTTTCACAAGCGTAGTATTTTTTACTTTATAAATGATAATAAAATTGGAACCTGTTCACTTTCTGTTTATTGTTTAAAGAAGCATATATCATCCTACTGTTTCCTTATTTTGGCTGAATGAGTAACTAGTCTAACCTTAACTGAATTTTGTTTGAAATTATTCGCTCCTTTTTGCCCCTTCATTCATAAAGCCACCATTTTGTGTTGCAGGACAGGTGTTCTTTAAACACTCGTTCCAGTGACCTCACATGATACAACTGCCTTGTACTCGATAATGTAAATATAGACTCTGGACAGTGCGTCAGCACTGTGTATTTATGGCGCCAGGTCACACGCTCAGTCTCATACACAGCATAACCCAAGGACAGTACCACGAAGGCGGGCTCTCTTAAAAGGTTCCTGTCAAAGGTCACATTATGTGAAATACCTTCACACCAGCAGTCGCTAAAATAAATCAGATTGTTTTACACTACAGTCTGCCTAGAGCTAAAAAACACAAGTACACACAGGGCAGGTGAAATAAAGAGCGTACATACTTTTTCTCCAGCTGCATCCTGGTCTTGACCATCCAGATGGGGTTCATCAGAGAGTTAGTAACAAAAGCTGAGGACACGGGACAAAATAAGAATATAGTTTTATACAACAGGGTAATGAGATCATAATCCCCTTAGTGTAATCCTTAACAAAGCTGTAAAGACAGAGAAATAATTTGTTTTTGCTGAACTCAGTGAGGGAAATTACAGCATGAGCGAACAGCAACAGCATAAATGCCAAATGTACTGCAGTCAGATACTTGCCACGCAATAAATAAAACCTTTTCTGAATCCAATAATGTTCATTTTACAGGCTTCAAAAAAAGGTTTATGTTAGCACAGTGTTATTTTATGCAACAAAGGGGAACATGCAGACTGCTCACCTGCAACACCAGCAGAGGACATGTGCACCACTCCACTATTAGGGACGAACAGCCCATTGAACATTTCTTTAGATTTCGAATATGCAGCAAAGTAAATGGCTCTGAAACACAGAGAACAAACTGGTAAGAACTCTACGCAGAAGCAACTGTAAAAATGAACACAGTGCTTAAATATGAATGCATATTGAATATGTGAATGTGGTTTTATGACAGCTGTGCAATTATGTAAATGATTCCATTTGGGATGGTGTGAGCCTTTGACAGGGTGTATCCAGAGCAGTCTGTTTCCCGGTGCCTGCTCTCTGCTTGGTTTCTGGAACAAACTGTCACTGCACCAGAATAGGCTGAATAAGCACTGGGCACCAGATACCCACAGAGCTGCTCTGAATGTAAGCCTGCCCAAGTTTGCCAGTGGAATGGAAGGACAGTGGAATTACTGAGCAAAGGCTGATGCTGTGGCTACTCATTAACCATGGGAAAAGTATAGGCAACGCATGACCCCTCTGAGTTTAACAAGGTCTCAACATTTTGTGACAAAAGCATTAGGAATATTCATTTTACGGTTATATTACTGTTGTATTGTTGTTTGCTTCTAAGATTATCCAACAGGGCAAAATTCTGAATATGTGTTTCGCTAATAATAAAACAAGGGTGAAACTGAAACTTTACAAGGTGTACCCATGCAAGACTCAAATTTCACTCACGTCATGTAAAAGTTTAACACACATTTAAACTAGATCAATTATTATCCAGTTATTCCTCTTACCACATCTGTGAAATTCACAAAATCTGTCTGTGAAACTTTTGAATGTAGTTCCTTATTTGTTCTTATCTCATTTGTCTCAAGTTAGGACAAAAATTTTATTAAATGCAAATACAGAAGCCTACTCACGTTGACAGACACCAACCTAAACAAACTAAGCAGCTGACTTGCAGAAGTCAGTAAGGGTGGGGAGGGGCTTGGAAGTTGTTGTCATGGCTACAGCTTCCTGTTTATACAGCCAGTTAATGCTTCCAGCCATTTAAGAAAAAAACAAACATAAACAGCTTCCCTCTGTTTTGATTTCTTATGTTAGCAGCCAGGGTATGATACATTCTGAGGTATGCCGATACTAAGGAACAAGACTGCTGAGAAAACATCACTGCTTCACTTCGTGGCCTTCTTTGCCTCTGCTTTGTTAGTTGTTTTTTAATAATTATGTTTTATTGTTAACACAGGTATCATTAACTCTTACACTATTAAACAAAGCAGTAGTGGGTACGAATGGTGGTGGAGATGGGCGACCCTGATGCATTAGAGCAACGTAAGAGTGTGTTGTACACACTGTTTTCACTGTACCTTGAGGGGGCCACACCAACAAGGTTCGGCCCCAGACCACGGAAAAGTGATCTTGGTCCCTCTTTTTCAAGAATTGATCTGAAATAAAAGCAAAGACCCATACACTGTCAAACATAAATAAAATAGAAATTATTGACAGATTTTTACTCACATACATTCACTGTAAATATCAAACTGTCTCTACATTTGTACAGTAAATGTCAGTAGGATTATCCCAGGCGCTATTACAGGTATGAGTGTGATAGCTCAAGCCTGCAATCATCCAAAGTGTTACATCAGTCCTGTTCACTTGAGCTGGTTTTGCTTAAGTTTCTACACTAAACAGTGTGCTCTCTGAAGCGCCTGGCTTGTCACGTCAGCCACATCCCCCCAGTGTTCTTAACTCTTTGGGGGCAGTGACCTTCATTCTCCAGATGACAGTCGGGTCTGCCTGGGGCCAAGCAAAAGGGCACTTACAACTGCAAATTATGCTACTTGTCTCACAACACTACCCTACAAATAAAAAAAAAAAAAAAAGAAAAAAAAAAGATGATCAATGACCTTTTCAGGCCAAAGTAGTTTCCAATCACAAGGTTTACATGACTAGAATAAGGGTTTAAAGGTCAGTAATGAATTTCTTGCACATTTTACACAAACATATGCCTGTAAATTCAAAGACAACCCTGTAACAGATCTGAAAAATCTATTTGCATCAGCTAAAGTAAGTTGAAAATCTAGCTTCAGAGGACAAGGAAATATTTGATCTCTTGAGACAAAAACTTATCTTAAAAAGGTATATGTAGCTTTTACTGCCTCAGCTGTAGTAGACACCAGTCCTGACCAGTTCAGTCTGTGGCCTAGGTCCAGAGTGTAATATAACACTGACACAGCACCCTGCTTAAAACCTTCCCTGGTTCCTCGTGGCCCACTGGGGCTGTGTCTAGTCTTCCGCAACCTAAGCATTCTTATAAAAGAGCTACTATTTTGCACATCACAAAAACTTCTCATTATAAGCACATCTTAAGGCCTCATGGGAAAGCATGTTTTGTCACCCCTAACATCTGGTTAAGGACACTAAGTAGGAGCAGGATACTATGTACTTAATCGCCACTTTATGTAGGACAGGATTAGAGGCGTTCATTTTAAGACTATGAAAGCAGAAAGCAAATGACAGCTCTTCAAAGTATTTCCACAAACTAAATCACAAGAAATGCACAAAAACACACCAAGCACATATATTTTGACAAATTTGTTATGTGAACACATGAGACAAGCCTAAACACTAAGGTCTTTCCAGGGTAAAACTCAGTAGGTTGTCACGCTGCAACTACAAAGTCAGCAGGTAATAATTATGCCTGTCCCTACACGGTAGTCTGGATAAACAGCAAAATGCACCAGCTGTGAGAAGGGACCGCTTTGTTCCTTTGTTTGAGAGACAATCCATACAGCATGCTGCAGCACCTTTTGCCTTACAACACAAACAAACATCTTACCGTAGGACCTGCAGCAGCCCAGGTGTCACAGTCCCCGGACGGATAACCCCAGTGCCACTTAGGGTGCCTAGCTGGACCTGGAAGACAGGCCGGAGGGTGAGGCCAGAGGACTGCAACCGTGTCTTCAACACCTCCAGGGGGCAGGTCACGATGGCTCCCACCGTACCACTACACCTGCAAAATGATTACACAAAAATTAGGATTATGGGCAACGGGGAGGGAAGTAGGCAATGTCCAACTGGTCAATGTGTAAAATTTTTCATATTATGAAACAATGTACCACCTTCTATTATTTGTAAGATTGATTTGAGTTGACTGCAAAATATTTTTCAGTCATAACACAGCTGAGGATCCACCGCTGCAATGAACAATTCTGGTCAAAGACTGTCTTGCTCTACAGTGGAAATATTCTGAGTTAACCCAACACAGCTGGTGCACAGAGTTTTCCAGCTCAGACGTTCTAATTGCACTTGGGGAGACTTGTTTCCCTGGGGAAAGACTGTTTTTAGATGACATTGTCCAGTTTCAGCTCAAAAAGTGAATTCATTTAGTTCTTTACATGTCTCTCACTGGTACATCCTTTATTAACTGTGTCTACAACCTTGTATGTGACAAGCTTAGAAGTCTGGAACAGATTAGACTAAGCCTCTGTACTGTGTCTTGTCTGAAGGACAAAGTCAAACATCTTAGCAAAAGTAACACCTGACCTAATTGTCCATTGACTGACCACTAGCCATCTATCCACCACTATTTGATTGTTAGAAATTACACTGAATTTGCTTCATTAGTATATTGTATAACTTAAATCTGACAAACACATGTAATTATATTGAAAAAATGTGTTGTAGACATGACCACTGACCAGCCCATACCTTATTTGATCACCCGGCTACAGTTTAGGTAAAAATAAAGTGGTCATCACTCCCACAACATTATTACACATTTGACTTCAAAAATCACATGTTCAAATCAAATGCTTCACGTGCAAAGCTAAAATTGAGCTCGTCATAACATTTCAAGGGTAAAATGGCGTCATTTAAGAAGCCACTGTTTAAATGTGACCTTAACTTCCACTGGATGCACCCAGCTCGTGGTTATAGTACAGACGTACATGACGTTGCTCGAGGTTTAGTATTCTTCGGGCCAGTAATTGGCGTCGGTACATGCAGCTGGTTGCTGGCAGTGTTACATAATATCAGGGAACATCACACAGCTAAAGGCTGACAACTCCCGTGACTGCGCCACGTCCAGCCATGACGGCGACGGGACAGTTAGCTAACCAACAACTCACGGTCTCGAGTTACACATTAGAACCTCCGTTTTCACACAGTGTATTACCTAAAACACCAGGTTGTTACTCGCATTTTGAACGGGACTTTCAAGACACAAAACCAACGGCTAAGTTTGATATATCTTGCTAGCTAAGGATAGCTATGAGGCATTAGCAAACTTCCGCACAGATGTAACGCTTGTTAGCTGAGCCGTGGAAACAAAAGATATTGCTGGATGGTTCGTTGTCTAGCGTTAACTAGGCTATTAGTTTAAAGGTGTAAAATGTTAACATAAATCATTTAACATGAGAAATATGTCCGCTGGCGAAGAACATAGTGAAAGAAACACGTTTACAGTACAAACATGGTGCAATGCTAACACGAGCTAGCTCGCCTTTATGTATTTTAGCATGCTGGCTGGCGGCTCCGTAACCCGTGGATTAAAGAGTAAATTCTCGTTAGTTTCAGATAGGCTTTTCATGGACAACACCGGGTGGCCTGAGCTTACCCTTTCATGTTACATTAACCTTGTTATTAATTACGTTTCTCCGTTTTGAAGCAGTGTCGTTAACGTGACTTACCCCCCGGCGAAGAGATGTAGCAGCGTGTCTTTCTGTGCCATCTTTGTCTTTTTTCAAAAAGCCACCATATTCTTATTATGTTTCAGTTAAAATCGTCCCCAAGTGAAATAACAGAGTTACGGTGATGTGATTCCGGTGTGATGCCGTTAGTCCGTGCCTCTGTACCGGCTCGGTGTAGCTGTCAGCTCGGGGCGGAGCGCCACTGTTGCCTGAAGAGTGGCTCGCTGTGACGTTAGTGGGACGGATGGGGGTGTTGTCCGTGACGTAGGCACATGTGCTCCCCACCTTCTCTTTGGCCTTTTTCAAGTCGTTACACAACTGCTATCCACAACAAACAGAGATCCCAAAAACAACACTTTGAACTTCTGAGGCCCTCCTGACCTTCACCAGTTTCAATATAAAGTAGAAGACTTAATAATTTACAGCTATGTTCACTTTAGAACAGAGCCCATGATTAACTTTGTTGTAGCCTATGAATAGGGTCAAAAATTTCAAAATCAAGCTTTAAGACCTGAATTGTTTTACTTCATATTGTTTTAACTTGTGAAGTTGTGTTTTATGAAAGCAACTTTTTTCCGTGTCAAGTAGTTAATACACAGAAAACCTTGCTCAGTGTAGCATTAATTAATGACAAAAGTGCTGTAAGGCTGCTACCAACAATTATATTCATTGTCAATCATTTTTTATTTTCTTTGAAAATCGATTGATTGTTCAACCTGTAATATTTCAGCAAACAGTGAAAAATGCCCATCATTATTTCCTGGAGCCCAAGTTCACATACACAAATGGCTTCTTCCTTTCATTTTGCTGGCTAACAGTGAAAACCCGTAAGAATTACTATCACAGAGAACTCAGAAAATAGTAAATATACACATTTGAGAAGCTGACACTGGAATGGAAGCTGCAATTAAATGCTTAATCAATTAATCAACTAATAATTTCAGGTCCAGAATACTAGTCGGTTTCTGGGTGCCTGGGGAAATAATGAATCTGCCTAGTAATGTGGGTGTCAATAAGTGCCCAAGAACATATTTTTGCCCCACGGTCTCCTCAAATAGTGAATGAAGTTCTAATGAAATAGTAACCTTTTCCTGCTGGTATTTAAAGGATAGGTTCACAATGTAAAAAAAAAAAGTTCATCCAAAGCTTCTATGGCTTCAGCTGTCTGAGCTATACAAATCAGCATCCATAGTTACATCTGTTTTGGTTCAAAATTTCCTGTTTCTTACTATTTATTTTACGCTGCAGCTCAACAGGGAAACACTGTCCAGAGAAACACATGCAGATGTAGGTGGTTCAAACATGGCTACTCTTTAATGAGGAACCCCATAATTATTATTTTAATTCTTTTAATTTCATAATAAGATCAAGGTAGTCTATGCGGCTTGATGTGAGGTATGTGATGTAAAGGTCATCCAATACTATGATGGTACATTTAGATCTGCATGCTTATCTCAAACCAGTTATATAATACTTATCACCTCCTGCCTTACTAACTATAATTGGCCTGTTCCAATGATAACACACAAAAATAGGGAGATTAAAAAGAAAAAAGTCCAAGATCAAGATCAACAACTATATCTTCTTCAGCAGGAAGACCACAAGACAACAAAGACCTTGATTTTAACTGGAGACAAAACATGACACTCTTAACTGTGGCATAATGAACACGTGATGTTATGTTATGTGCTGCCCACCAATGAGTGATGTGTAATAAAAGTTGGAATGTCGACCCTGTTGTCACCCTGAGGATATCTAAGCTACAGAAAAATAAGTTACTCAGTCACCTTGATAGCAGTCTGTTTGTCTGCACAATAACATCCGTGCCATGCGTGTGTGTTGAAACCTGTCAAACCAGTTGAGCTTGATTTTGTAATCATAACCACGTTTGTCATCCTGTATTCACAGTGTGCATTAATTATGTGTTTGAAATTACACAACCCTAACCCTAACCCAAACCTAAACACTGACCTTCCTGCTCAACTGACTTCCCTCATTGATAAAGATTCAATTCACTCGGTTAAAATGTCTTTAATCCTTTACTGTTTTGTTACAGTGGGAGAATGTAGTGTAACACATTGTATTATGTAACAAGGATTGGATCGCATTGTATCACTCTTGCCAACATGAATGGTCTAATTTAAGCCTCTGTCAATGAATCAACCTCTGACATGGGTCAAGTAAAACAAATGCAAATAAACTGTATTTTAGTATTGTCAAGAAGTAACTTTACTCAACTTAAGTACAATGTTGAGGCACTTGTACTATACTTGAGCATTTGCTATTTCATACTTATCTCAGAAGGAAATATTGTACTTTTTTACTCAACTGCATTTATTTAACAGCTTTGATTACTGGTTACTTTTCAGACTAAGATTTTACATCAACACACGGATAAGAAATATAATATATTGACTAATCTAAACTTACTAAACTACTGAATGAGTAGTTCCCAGCCTTTTTCACGTTTGGAATCTTTTAAAAAAAGCAGTCCTTTTGGAGCTCCTTGTCGTGCAGATGTATTGAGTTGTTGGCAGTTTCATCAAATAATGATTTTCTGAATAGCTGAGATTTAAATAATTGTTTTAGGCTCAAAGCGGTAGATTACTCAGTATTTCACAAAATAAACCCTGCCTCATTAATCATCTCATGACCCACTAATTGCAGTTGTATGCAGTAAAATGATGCTTATGAATTGAGATATATGTAAATGTGACATATCATAATGTATCAGTCACATGGGGCATATTACTGCAGAATGATTACTTTTACTATTTATTTTGCAGATAATACTTATTTTCTTTTGCTCAAGTAGGATTATTTTTACACTGTTGTATTGGTTCTTTTACATACATACGTTTCCTGTTGGGCTCAACAATGAGGCCGGATGATCTTGACTGGGCTTCATGGTTACGTAAGTGTTGGAAATGCTGACACCAAGTGACCAAATATGAAACCTGCAGCTGCAGGACAGTTAGTTCATCATAACTCTAAGAAGTGAAATTCAAATCTTTTCTGTCAACCAGCTGTATTTAGTTTCATTCCTTCTTGTCACCTCATCATCATCATAGTGTTGTTTTTGAACTACTGGCCTTGTTAAATTGTAGGTGCAGTTTGGATCCCATTGGGGTTATTTGGTGCTTTCAGAAATCTCCCTGGGTTTCTTTGAATCTGCTGCTGAACACAATGTTTATGTGCTCATGGGTGTGTGTGTGTGTGTGTGTGTGTGTGTATATACAGATAAACTTAATCCTGTGCCTTATGTAAAATACTAAACAATTACCGGGACTGAACTGTCTCAGTTTCTGTATCAGTGAAACTGTCACAGTAGTTGGAGACTGAAGTGGCAGCGACAGAGGCTCAAATCGCCCCACACCCATCCCACCACTCCCAGCCCCCTTTAATACTGGTTTCCCTCAATGTTTGGCCCATGTACATTTCAAGTGCTCGGACCTTGTTTGATTTATCTTCAGTAGTATTTCAGTGTAAACCTGCAAAGTGTAATTTACTTCCAGGCCATTTGGCATATACTCAATGTCTTTGCAAGTTAGTAACAGCCTTTATTTAGCTTATAATATTCTGTGGTTGTTTTTGACAAGGCCTGAAGAATGTTTCTTGCCTTACACTGTAATCATTGTTCATCATCTCTAGTTTTTAGTTTGGTAACATTTTCAGTATATTGAATATGTGCATAAAAATCCACAAATAAAACATGTGGTGTGTCACATTCAACCAAGTGCTAAATAAGCTACATTTACATTATTTCAGACAGCTAAACTGGGTATGGATGCGAGTGCTGTCTGTGTAGGGTCAATGCACTCACTTCCATGTTCCAAACTGCATTTCATACCATTTTAGGGAACATGACACTTCCCAGCACCTTGAATTTGTGGCTCCACATCTCACTGACTTTCAGAAGGAAAGGAGTTACATTTGGGAAACATTAAATCGGGGCCCAGTAATATTTATGGACATAAGGTTCAAGGTCAAATGATTCCGTTTCTGAAAACTAATGTTCGCTTTGGTCTCTGTATGCTGTGGCTAAAATAAGACTTTTTCGTGGTAAATACTTTGTGTGTAGCCAATGTGCCTAAGTTCCACTGCTCATCCTAATCCTTTGTCAGTTTCTGTGCTGTTGAGACTGATGCAACTGGGTGAGGGAGTCAAATCATCATGACGCACTGCTGGTAGATTCCCGTTTTGCCACTGAGATAACAAAAGGCCCTGCACAGCCACACAGGTGTTTTCAACTGTTCTGGCCGGATAGACCTCTGATCAAGTTTGGTGATGTCAATAAACATGTACCGACTTGTGACTTGTCATAACCACAGGTTTCAACTAATGACATTAACAATGGCTCGGCTCTATTTAAGCCTCCCAGTAAGCCACGACTGTGAGATAAGTGAGCTGGCATACACAATGCCAGGACTGTGAAAACTGAAGCAGCTACATGAAATTCAGCCGTAATTCATTTTATTATTCATACATTAGATGTTCCTACTGTGACATGTGAAAATGTCTTCTGTGAAAAAACCCCGTCAATCAAGCTCAGATCGTACCTACACACCCACCCTGTCCTGACGAGAGGTCCAATCAGGCAAAGTAAGTGAAAACACCTGTGTGGGTTGCTGCATGGGGACTTCAAATATTATTTCTAGCCAATTATATTTCAATACAAATTTGTTGTTTCACATTCACCCCTCGTAAGAATAGTGAACTGATTTGTGAAGTGGTTGAATGTTGGTCTTGATAGACATAGCCTTAAAATCTTTGCATCTTTGAATTGCAACAAGCTACGATACTGTATACTGTAAGTGACTTTTGTTTATGTTCAACAACACACCGAAGTTAAAAATATAAGTTCTATCCCTGTGAATTACAGATGAATGGAGGATGGATGAATAGTCATCAAATAATATAGAGTTAATAATATAAGTAATTTCCCCTCAGGTTCAACACTAATTGATTTACATGCTTCAGGTGTTGACTCTACTCTATAGTAGCTTTTGAGACCACAGTTTGCAGCATCTAAATGGATCGCCTTGCCTTAAGCAGCAAAATGACAATCGTACAATGCACAACAGATAATCTGAAATAATCTTTAATAGATACTTACAAACAAATCTACAACAAGGAGTACAAATAAAATGGAAGCTGCAAGCAAGGAAAAGTAAGGTGTGGCACAGTGTGTGCACATCCAGCTGAGTGCTGAATGTGTACCACATCTGCACATTTAAAAATACTACAGTCAACAGGTCTATGATATGGCATTTGACAATATGTTGGCAATCTGACCTTCTTTATTACATTTGTGCAGCACTTTGTGGATTGTCTTTTTCCGTCTTTACATTGCCTTACATCTGAACTGTGCTGATTCAAGCACAATACCGTTTACCTACATAGTCTGCACCCCCCCCACCCTTAAATCTCATAAAACACAAACACTACATCAATGGTTCTCAGCTATGTGGCAGTGAGACCCCAAGGATAGCAGGTTTTCATTGCAACCAACCATTACCCTACAGTAGCGTCTTCACCAGTTGATTTCCATTCTCTGGCTTTATATGTGCAAACGAGTGAAATCAGCTGATGCGACTGGTTGAATTAATAAAAACAGCTCTCTCGGGCCTCGACAGCATGTGGTTGAAAACTAATGAACTACAAAAAGCAGGAGTGACAAAAGATTTTTTAAAAAAGACACTGATTGTATTGAGAAAAATTTCCTGCAGGTGCATGCTACAAATAATCACAGTGGCATTATCCTTCCGTTAAAATTTCCGCTAATGATGTTCCTGTCAGATGCCTGATGGCAAGCAATGGGGCACATGTATATCGCAGCGAGAACTGATAGTGCAGTGAGTGGTGGGAGCTGCTCTTCAGCTGCCTCACAGTGCATTCATCCACAATGCACTTCATACCCCCAATAGAGTGGTCAGCATCTAATTTCTGTGTTGTGTGAACGGAAGATTTCATTCATTATCTATTTAAAAACTACATTTTCTAAAAGCAATTAGGATTTCATGTTATAATTCTCGATTTGACAGGACGTACAAGCTGACATGAGTATGCAATGCCACCTTGTGGTCAGATACTGACAGTGCACCTCTGCACCTTTTTCAATTTCCATCACACAATATTTTTTTTTTGCACAATAGCATTTAAATTTAAAAAGGCTACAAGATAGAAATTCAGAATCATAAAGCCTGGAGGTCACAGCAGAGGTACTGACTACATATGCCACATCAACTTACAAACTGGAGGAGGTACACCAATATGGTGACTGTCATGGCATCGTCTGGATCAGCATGTGCATAGTGCTCAGTGATTCCTGATTTGATAAAGTTAGAGAACACAACTGCAAAGAGTCATAAAAACAGGATAAGAAACTCAAAAACGAGTCCATCCACTGACACAGAAAGCATACTTGTTGAATCATTCATGAGGCTTAGTCAGTCCTGGAGGTTTGAACAATGCTGTCAAACGGGTTCAACCCAAAAAGGATCCCAGAGAAACAGAAAGAGACGAGGGTGTGCTGTGTGTGTTGTGACTGTCAGCGTGGTCATTGGTAGAGCAGGTAGTTCTTGAGAGAGGCTGGCAGGGGCAGTCTATGGATTTCACTCAGACGGTCTCTTCCTAATGCCACCCTCACTGAACGCCTACACAGGTCCATCAGAGAAAGGGGTTCAGCTGGAGGGAGACAAGAGAGGGAGGGGCATGAGGTAGAGCATTTTTTTATGTGTTTACAATGGCAGACATCTCTGAAAATGGGAATTGAACAGCATTAAACCCCTTATCTTTTGTTACCACAGAGAACACAATCAATTTCTTGTAAACTATAAAGCCATTGCTGTGTTTGATACAAATGAAGTAAAATATACCAAAATTATTTGCCTCCATTCATGTTGCCATCAGTTGATATGATTATGAAAAAAATCTTGGATCAAGATGTTGGCACCAGTCTACACAGACTCCAACAGAGGGAAGTTGTTATGATATGAAATCCACTCTGAAGTCATGAAATGGACAAACAGGTATTGACTAAGGAGAACAACTAATAAATTAAATTTAGAATTAGAATTTTTCATTTGTATCAATTGTCAAGGAAAATCTCTTTGTTTTTTTTGGCTGCTTGTCATAAAAAAATGGCTTATTGTAATGGACATTGTGTGTAATTTCAACAAGGAAATATCTGATCAAAGAACAACATGAATGTGACTAAATATTGAGTACTAAACTTCAGTACTTGACAATTTTCAATATGTGCTATAGAAAGATTTTGCTCCTCCTTCAAAAAGTACTGATCAATAGACAGTCCTATTTTACCAGTGACTTTTTGTAGATGTAAACTAAGCCACGAAGACGAAAAAATATTTTTACATATTCTTTGGCTGCAGTACCAACATTGTGTATCCAAATACTGAAACTGATTTTAATATCAGTGTACAAGATAAGGGATTTCCCTGCTCCACATCCAACAGTAAGAGCAATGTCAAATCAAACTGAAACTGGTTTTCATGCCTACCGCTGCATCTGTAGCTCTTCTTTTTCAAAGACCTAAAAGTAGGTCAGGGGATCTGAGCTGAACATAAAAATCTAATGAGCACAGAGCACTTGGGACATGTGGGTAGTACAACATGTTTTGATAAGCACCTATGTTTCCTCATTGAAAGCTCATGACTCTTTTACCATGGAATAATTGGGATTAATTCAATTGGAATCATCTTACATTTGTCTGGAGGGAAAAACAAGCAGCTTGTTTTTTGGTTCATGAACATTAAGTAACACAAAAAACTATGAAGGAGGTGCCACAGCCTGAATGAAAAACAAGGGAAAAGTACAATTAATAGGAAAAGCTAGGACAGGTTATAGCGACATCACGTGTCACTACAACATGTCTTAACTCCTCACTGAAAGCAGGAAACAGTGACATCATTCTCATTTGAGAAACAGCGATTTCACATATATATATTAATTCACATATAATCTGGATGGCAAAGCAAGAATACAAATCAGTCATGTTATCAAATGAACTGCTTTACATAATAGCCAAGGGACAGCCATACTGGTGCAAGTCAGAGACAATAATGCTGCTCTACAGTAACCCCGTCTGCAGTAATATGACAAATCCTCAACTGTCACACCTTTGTTTATTGCTTCAATAAATGCTGTCTGTGGTTATGCAAGAGCTGAACCAAGACAGCATCACAGATCACAAACGCTGTTGCTCATGAGAGAAAAGATTAAACAAGGAAGATTTTAAAAAAGGTTAAAAGTTTGTACTTACGATCGAGTCCATTTATGTACCGGATTCGAATTTCACAGTGTCCCCACACGGCGCTCACTACTGGGTACAGCTTCCTGCCCTTAAGTCCTCTGAACGCCACCCCTAGATAATGTCCATCCACTATGTAACCCAGAGTCCCCTCGTCCATGTCCAAGACTACTAAGAGGGAGTCTGGGATTATGAAGGTGTCGTCTGGCTCGAGGAAGCCTGGGTAGGTTTTTCCTGGGAGGTTCTTGCCATCATGGTAGAGTTTACTCCTGCACAGGTCCCAGCCCCACGACTCAGCGTTGCTTCCCACCAAAGCTGTGTAGCCCACCGAGTGTAGCGGGGCGTCACTTGTAGCCACTCCGACCACAGCGTGTGTGCCCCTCTGACGCATGGCCCAGCTGATCTCCCACACGTGCAAGCCCCTTGTGTATCCAACGCGGCCCCGGATGGCGTCCGTGCTCTGAGCCACAGGGTGCCTGTGAAACACCAGCTTGTTGTCGTCCTTGACGAAGATATTGAGGGAACGGTCATCATTGTTCCACGAGTGCTGGACCTGGACATCCACGCTGGCAGGTGGCATGTCCAGCAGCAGATCCAGTCGAGACGGTTTGGTGTGACTCAGGGCCTGTAGCTCCAGCTTCAGGGGGCTGAATGCCGGATCCCGCATATCAATGGTTTTGATGCCACCTGGGACTTTTTGCCCCATGCTCGGGGTCGTTATAGCAGCTCCTTCTTCTTCCTCCTCCTCCTCCACCACCACCACCACCACTGCCGCCGCCGCCTCCTCCTCCTCCTCCTCCTCCTCCTCCTCCCCCCTCCTCAAATAATAATGGGGGGAGTGATTAGCCTTAGACCCTCTCCTCCACTGTGCTCCTTCAAAGCCTAGGAACAGGTTTGAGCTCCCTCGGCCACTAGATGCAGACAGCCAAGGTCAGACCAGGTGTTGTCTGAAGCCCACCTGGAGAGATTAGAGGAGATGAATTAAAAAAAGACAAGTTAATTACTCACTAATCTAATTAGCAATCTTCTGTTTGTACCAGGAAATGTCAGGAAACATCAAATCCTACAAAACAACAAGCTAAACATAGAGGAACATTGTAAGACCATCCTTATCATGCCATGACGCCCTTTGACAACAAAATGGTAGATCTGCTATAATGACATCATACAGCATTTGTTGTAAATGTTACAGTGCATGTTTACGTTTAACGGGAAGTTCACTCAATATTTTAAAGCTATTCATTTGGTAATCAGTGGACAACAACTGATATTAACTGCAGAGCTGTTCAGTGACCTCAAAAGTGGCTTTGTTTTCATGTTATTCTTAAAGAAGGCAGTGTCCCATGACCTAAGAAATCTGAGATGTAAAGCTAAACACAAGCACACACTGATAACATTATCAGTACACAACAGCAAGGACCATGTATCTGCTGACCGTGGCCTCATTTCCTACAGCCGTAGTAACAATGTACTCTGATTGTCATGTATTTACCCACAGCCATTTCAACTTAATGTAAAATTTGGAGCAGTCAGAGAGTAGATCAAGACTGTATGGTGTTGTTCTTCCTCCCTACCAGTTCACTATAACGTTGAGTCAACATGACAGACAAGACCAACAAGTTTCTGCCACTCAGTCATAAATGTATTTTCTAGATTGAAAAGGTTATATAGTTCTTATTGTATTAAATCATTTATTTAACCAGGTAACAAGTCTGATTGAGATTTAAATCTCTTTTTTTTTTATGAGTTACATGAAAACACAAACAACACAAACAGACAAATACAACTTGCAATACACACAAATGGAATGCATGTGCATTCAGCTGCATTCATAAAGAGAAGATCCCGGTAATCCAATACAGCTAAAATGTTGCTGAAATCAAGTGTTTCCTTGCCTGGAGGGAGAAACAAGACTTATTCCTCAAAAAGAAAATTGATTAAGTTTCAGCTTGGAAACAAGGTTTTCAGTGTGTGATTTGAATGTCAGGTTCTGATCAATAATAATAATAATAATAATAATAATAATAATAATAATAATAATAATAATTCAATACTTATCTCAACCCCTTGAGGAGTTGAGATAAGATGAATTTGTCACCTTTTTGCCATTTGAAAATAGCATGACTTTAAATTTGACTGCATTTAACACCAATTTAGGTTAAGTTAAAAAGGGGTTTGCACTACTGAAGTGGATGAGCAGTAGACAACTATCATCTACATAAAAATTGAAGCATGAAAAATTATCACAGAGAATACAATTATGGAGAAAAGCAATGGTCCCTGAATGGCACCCTGTATACTGGATTGGACTATTAACAGTGAACAGACTAGCCTAGATCGAAAAACTGCAGTTCAACATTTAATAACTGACAGGGTTTAGCTGCTGTGTACAGTCTTTCTAGACAAATGGCTAACTAGGGTTGGGCAGTGTGACAGTATATATGAGACAATATAAATTTGTAATCTGTCAGAGATTGTGCCATACACTTTTTACCATGGTAGCTATCACTTTAACATGTTTGGTCACATTGGTCAATTGTAGGCAATGCTGCAATGCTGCAAGACTGCTTTATTGGATTTTCAATGATTTTTCCATCTGCATGGTTAAAGTACTTTGATTTTCAAATCACTGGATTAGCAAAAAACATAAATCTCATGATTGTATCCATTAACATTTTCTCAATCAATTTTCCAGAAAAATGTAGCATCCCACTATTGCAACATCAAATTACATTATACCTAGGAAGGCACCTGCTTAAAGCTTTACATTTAACAATTGAAGAGCACAGCAAATGCATCCTATATTTGTTGAACTGTGCCTTTGTGATGATTTTGGATCTATGGTAAAGACAACAATTGGAATAAAGCTGTTAAATTGTGCTTTTAAGTGTTATGTTTTAATAAATTCTGTTTTTGATAAACTTGCATGATTAGAATTTCACAGTCACACACTTGGAGACACTATTATCAAGAAATCAGCTAATAACAGTTATGACTAATTTTGAACTTTTTTTTTTTTTCTTAATAACTGTAGATCAATAACTAATTTTGAACTTTTTTGACATCTGTAGATCTACAAAAGACATGTCAGTGATGCACTACGATATGCTTTCATGTTAATCTTAATGTACCTGATCCATAGATCAATATTCTCTCTTGATCCTTATAAATTTCCATGGGGTTTATAAAACATTCAGATTCATGTAGTGTACAGAGATATGCTTGTTTAAACTGGCAGACACCCATGTTATTATGTGCTTCTTTTGCTAAGTGACTCATTCATGATTACGCCACACAAACAACATAAAAAAAAAAAAAAACACTGAAATCTTATTTGATTAGCTGTCCTCAATTTTACGCATTACTTCTCCAGCTTTTCTTGATAAAGCAGAGTCAATCCAAGAATCTGTGATGTCATGATGTTGCCAATTTCAGCCACTTATTAAGCAGCTACAACAGAAAGAGCCTGACAACCTAACAGAGGGGACAACTCATGGGCTTATTTTTTAGTGCCTCAAAATCTCCAAACCACAATCAGAATGAACTTTATTTGGTCAAATGATAAAAACAATTTTAGGTGTAAACTATCATGGTTTTATGGCATTATGATTGTTTTAAAATTTAATAGTGTTGGTTTTAGAAAAGCAGCACTTAACAGCAAAAAAGTAGATCCATGACCCTCAATGGGCTGAAACATTATTCAGCTAGTCTGAAAGTGAAATATTCCCACAAACTCCAAAAATAGGAAAAAAGAGGGGAAAAACTCCAGCCATTTCCTATTATATGGCTGTCTAGTCAGAGGGCAACAGGAAAAGCAGTAATAAAACGTCTGGCTTAAAAAAATAAGCCAGTTCTGTCGTATTTGAGGGACACAGCTTTTTTCAGGCAGAAAGAGTTTCAAGAAGACATAAACTTGACAATAAAAGCCTGATGAATACCTGCAGTGCTTCACTATACTGACTCCATTACAAAAGACCACAGCTGTGAAAGGGCACTTCCAGTTTATTACTGAGAAGCCTGAATATAACTGTTAAAACACCATCTTATACCCAATTTTTACATTTCTTTATTATAACTTTAACAAGGCAGCTGATGCCAACAGGACTACTTTAGGTCAATAGTCAGGCCATTCTTTTATAGTGAAAACCCTATTTGGCCTGATACCCCACACTTCGCATTAAGGATCAGTATCCCAAAGACATGACGTGACTTTTTGTGGGTGCAGGTGTGACTACTGCCGCTCTTTGGTCTTCGTGTTTTGGCCTGTGTTGCAGTAAGGCTGTAGAGAGCATTGTGTAATGTGGAAAACTGTGCTGCTGGGAAGGCCACTCTAATTGAATTGTAGACAAGAGTTCATTGAGAAGTGCTTTGGCTCTTCTTCTAATGCAAGTAAACAACCATTTAAATGGGTCATGTCTCTTCAGTGATTGGAAAACAGGAGGGAAGAAAAAGCAAGCAGCGGGTGGCCAGCATCTGAATGTAAACAATCTCTTTTTCAATGCCTGTCCAGCATTCAGGGAGAGTGAAACATGTTAATTTGCACACCCTTTGAGCCAGGAGTTTACCAATTCCTCTCCCTGTGGCAAAGGGCCACCTTACAGCGCACACAATATGCAAATCAAAACTAAAAGAACAATAAAAGGTCTTCCCACATTTACCTTGGACTTCAGAACAAACATATCCATTAGTAGAATAAAAGGTGGCTTGTGGAGGGATATATTTGAACTGGGATGCCTGCCTGGGCTGTTTGGGGGTCCTGGGCCCCTGGGTTGGTTTGGAGCTGATTAAAATGCAAGAGGAAGGGCTCGCTGGACTTGCTGGGCCAAGGAAACACTTGTGTCTATTGTAAGGCCCAATTTAAACTGGTCCCACCTGAACTTAAGTCCTAGCCTGTTTGTTGACCTGCTGAGTACATAAAGCTCATGATTTAGCCTACCAAAGACAAAGTCATCCATTGTATGGATGCAATGCTTGAACATGTTATGTATTATGGAGTTCCTTAATATTATGTAGTCTAGCACTTTGCTATGACTTGTCTAAAGATGAAATTTAAACTGAAACTTAAAGTGTTTTAGCTTTGAACAGGTTAAATATATATGATTTAGTTTACTTTTATTGTACTTTGCTTTGTTTAATTACATTATCTTTAGTGCACTCATGTTCCAGTTTATTAGGTACACCTAACTAAAACGATTGCAGTCCAATATAACAACTCTGCAAATCATATCATCATGACGGTTACAAAGTTCTATTTTTGTTGATTCAACTTTCATTGTGGTCATTTCTGATGTTGTAGTTTATGATGCTGTTGAATTGTAAAGTGTAAGACTGAGAGGCATTTCTAATATTAGGTCTACCTTCACTGGCATAAATGGGGTGGACAAAATATTAGAAACACCAACATCCTATTTATATCAATTAGGAGAGACCACATTATATTCAAAGCACCTATGAGTATAATCAATCTACTCACAGCCCCCAGAATAACTATAAAGCTGAACCAGCATTTCTCTACAACAGTTTTAACAAAAACTGAACCTATTGTAACCTTCATTAAAGTTAAGGGTATTGGCAGCTCTATTAGAGCGCATTACCTAAAAGCAAGTATCCCTAATAATGTGGCAACTGAGTAGATGTAGGCCTTCTGGACAGTTAAACCATAATAGCTTGTCATGCTAGCTAATGTAAAAGCAGTCTAATCTTCAAATAAGCTCTCGTGGGCCTGGGAGCCGTG